TTGGTGAGTGTACTGGCGGTCTATAATGTAGACTGTAGCCTGGTTTTTAAGCTTGGTGAGTGTACTGACAGTTTATAATGTAGACTGTAGTCTGGTTTTTAAGCTTGGTGAGCGTATTGGCAGTCTATAATGTAGACTGTAGCAATGGTTATTAAACTGAGTGAGCGTACTGGCAGTCTATAATGTAGACTGGAGCCTGGTCTTAACCTGAGTGAGCGTATGCTCAGCAGTAGCTGACAAAACCACGTGCAAAATATCTAAGCTTGTGCCGGAGGCCCCGGAGTGTCAGATGTCTATGACGTCACCCAGCCAAACCACATTTGGCAGAGCCAGGAGACCCCCCCCCCAAACTCACCCCTCCCCCCCACGCCCCCCCCCCCTCGGGGTCCCCCCAGAACCAGCAGAAAACCACTACAAATGGTCACGCGGCATGCGCTCGAACGCTCATTGGAGAGGAGAGGCTGCCATGTGTCTGTTCGGGAGCTGGACTGGTACCCACTAGACCTCTGTGGAATGCAGTGCAGGATGTCCAGTTGGCTCATCCTGGCTCCACTCATCCCGAGGGATGAACAGTCCTCTGGGACAGGAAGCTTCCAACAACATCATGAAGGGGACGTTTAGAGCATGGAGGTGAGGTGCGAGAAGATGCGCGTACCTGGCTGTTGTGGTCTCACCTTCCCATCAACAGGAAGCGAGGAATGGTGGTGGTGACTTGCACCGACGAATCCGACGACCCCAGATTGATTCTCGCTCAAAGGCAGCACCAGGGAGTGATCCTGGGCGTCGCCCAGGTTGACTCTAGCCTCAAATGAGCACCGGGTGAAATTTGTAAGCATAAGCACAGGGAATACAAAGGCGGCCGGGTGCGGCACTGCCCAACACCACTCCAAAATGTGACGTGCCGGCCTTCACAGGTGCTTGTTAACAGCACTTGCCCCTAACAGGCTGTGCAGGCCACACACGGGATCTTTATCAGTACAAGACGGTGAGAGAACGAGGAGCCCGGACCCGGTCAGCGGAGGGGGTGGTGGGGTGGGGGGAGGGTGTGAGCAATGAATGAGAGGTTGTGAGGAGGATGAGGTGGGTGAGGATGAGGAGGTGGATGAGGTGGCAACCCTGTGTGCGCTGGTAACTGATGTGCGATGCCGTGCGAGACAGAGCGAGACGGACGCGGTGAGTGAGGGGGGCCAACGTTTATTGAGCCACACTCGGCTACAGCAGCAGCAGGATCCTCTAGTTGATGGTCACCTCCACCGGGAAATGGTCGCTCACCTCCTTGGCCTGGGGCGGGGAGGAGGAACAGACACGGGGTCAGGGGGGCGGATAGGAGATCCAGGAGTCAACGGTGAAACCAGCAGCCACGGGGACCTCCACGGGACCTCCACGGGGACCCCACGGGACCGCCACGGGGACCGCCACGGGGACCGCCACGGGGACCGCTCACGGGACCGCTCACGGGACCGCTCACCTTCTCCAGGCTCAGGCCATACATGGACTGGAAATTGAGGATGCGAGCAGAGCCGGAAGCAACGGCCCCTTGGAGCGCGCTCCCAGCCACCACGATCCTGCGCACGAGAGGGAGAAGGGCACTCTGAGACGAGAACCCTCACCCCATACGGAACCCTACCCCCTCCGAGACCCCGACCGCACCGAGGACCCAGAACCCCAGCGGGTCCCCAACCTGAAGGCCACCATCCGCACACCTGTCATAAGCGCAGTTGGTGGTGCCCACGGTGGTGTCCACCTCGTCGCCGATGAGCCAGGAGAAGCGCGAGTCCGAGCGCAGGCGGATGCGCCCCCAGTCGGACGCTGTCACGTAGCTGCAGTCGGCGTTCAGATCCCCAAGGAGCATGACGTTCTGTTGGGGGAGCGAACACGGCGCTCTGAGGAACGCGGGCAAGTGCGGAGGCCACGTCGCTGTGTCAAAAAAATGCGGCGGTGTCGGGAGCGCAGAGCCCCCGGGGGGGGGGGGGGGGGGGAGGCGGCCTCACGTCCGTGCCCCAGCGCTGGCGCACGTCCGCGTACACGTCGAAGAGCGCGTCGATCTCCCTCACCGCCAGGTCGGGAGACGTGTGCTGTGGCACGAGCACGAGCTGCGGGACAGCTGCAATCACACAGGCACCACACTCCGTCACCACCACCACCACCACACTCCGTCACCACCACCACACTCCGTCACCACCACCACACTCCGTCACCACCACCACCACACTCCGTCACCACCACCACACTCCGTCACCACCACCACCACACTCCGTCACCACCACCACACTCCGTCACCACCACACTCCGTCACCACCACCACCACCACACTCCGTCACCACCACCACACTCCGTCACCACCACACTCCGTCACCACCACCACCACACTCCGTCACCACCACACTCCGTCACCACCACCACACTCCGTCACCACCACACTCCGTCACCACCACCACCACCACACTCCGTCACCACCACCACCACACTCCGTCACCACCACCACCACCACACTCCGTCACCACCACCACCACCACACTCCGTCACCACCACCACACTCCGTCACCACCACACTCCGTCACCACCACCACCACACTCCGTCACCACCACACTCCGTCACCACCACCACACTCCGTCACCACCACACTCCGTCACCACCACCACCACCACACTCCCATCACCACCACCACCACACTCCGTCACCACCACCACCACCACACTCCGTCACCACCACCACCACCACACTCCGTCACCACCACCACACTCCGTCACCACCACACTCCGTCACCACCACCACCACACTCCGTCACCACCACACTCCGTCACCACCACCACACTCCGTCACCACCACACTCCGTCACCACCACCACCACCACACTCCGTCACCACCACCACCACACTCCGTCACCACCACCACCACCACACTCCGTCACCACCACCACCACACTCCGTCACCACCACCACCACCACACTCCGTCACCACCACCACCACACTCCGTCACCACCACCACCACACTCCGTCACCACCACACTCCGTCACCACCACACTCCGTCACCACCACACTCCGTCACCACCACCACCACACTCCGTCACCACCACACTCCGTCACCACCACCACCACACTCCGTCACCACCACCACACTCTGTCACCACCACCACCACACTCCGTCACCACCACCACCACCACCACACTCCGTCACCACCACCACCACACTCCGTCACCACCACCACACTCCGTCACCACCACCACACTCCGTCACCACCACCACCACCACCACACTCCGTCACCACCACCACCACACTCCGTCACCACCACACTCCGTCACCACCACACTCCGTCACCACCACACTCCGTCACCACCACCACCACTCCGTCACCGTCACCACCACCACCACCACACTCCGTCACCACCACCACACTCCGTCACCACCACCACCACCACCACACTCCGTCACCACCAACACCACCACCACACTCCGTCACCACCACCACCACACTCCGTCACCACCACCACCACACTCCGTCACCACCACCTCCACACTCCGTCACCACCACCACCACCACCACACTCCGTCACCACCTCCACCACCACCACACTCGGTCACCACCACCACCACACTCCGTCACCACCACCACACTCCGTCACCACCACCACCACACTCCGTCACCACCACCACCACCACACTCCGTCACCACCACCACACTCTGTCACCACCACCACCACACTCCGTCACCACCACCACCACCACCACACTCCGTCACCACCACCACCACACTCCGTCACCACCACCACACTCCGTCACCACCACCACACTCCGTCACCACCACCACCACCACCACACTCCGACACCACCACCACCACACTCCGTCACCACCACACTCCGTCACCACCACACTCCGTCACCACCACACTCCGTCACCACCACCACCACTCCGTCACCGTCACCACCACCACCACCACACTCCGTCACCACCACCACACTCCGTCACCACCACCACCACCACCACACTCCGTCACCACCAACACCACCACCACACTCCGTCACCACCACCACCACACTCCGTCACCACCACCACCACACTCCGTCACCACCACCTCCACACTCCGTCACCACCACCACCACCACCACACTCCGTCACCACCTCCACCACCACCACACTCGGTCACCACCACCACCACACTCCGTCACCACCACCACACTCCGTCACCACCACCACCACACTCCGTCACCACCACCACCACCACACTCCGTCACCACCACCACACTCTGTCACCACCACCACCACACTCCGTCACCACCACCACCACACTCCGTCACCACCACCACCACACTCCGTCACCACCACCACACTCCGTCACCACCACCACACTCCGTCACCACCACCACCACCACCACACTCCGTCACCACCACCACCACACTCCGTCACCACCACACTCCGTCACCACCACACTCCGTCACCACCACACTCCGTCACCACCACCACCACTCCGTCACCGTCACCACCACCACCACCACACTCCGTCACCACCACCACACTCCGTCACCACCACCACCACCACCACACTCCGTCACCACCAACACCACCACCACACTCCGTCACCACCACCACCACCACACTCCGTCACCACCACCACCACACTCCGTCACCACCACCTCCACACTCCGTCACCACCACCACCACCACCACCACACTCCGTCACCACCTCCACCACCACCACACTCGGTCACCACCACCACCACACTCCGTCACCACCTCCACCACCACACTCCGTCACCACCACCACACTCCGTCACCACCACCACACTCCGTCACCACCACCACCACACTCCGTCACCACCACCACCACACTCCGTCACCACCACACTCCGTCACCACCACCACCACCACCACACTCCGTCACCACCACCACCAACCACCACACTCCGTCACCCACCACCACCACACTCCGTCAACCACCACCACACTCCGTCACCACCACCACCACACTCCGTCACCACCACCACACTCCGTCACCACCACCACCACACTCCGTCACCACCACCACCACCACCACACTCCGTCACCACCACCACACTCCATCACCACCACCACACTCCGTCACCACCACCACCACCACACTCCGTCACCACCACCCACACTCCGTCACCACCACCACCACCACACTCCGTCACCACCATCACACTCCGTCACCACAACCACCACACTCCCGTCACCACCACCACACTCCGTCACCACCACCACCACCACACTCCGTCACCACCACCACACTCCGTCACCACCACAACACTCCGTCACCACCACCACCACACTCCGTCACCACCACCACCACACTCCGTCACCACCACCACACTCCGTCACCACCACCACCACACTCCGTCACCACCACCACACTCCGTCACCACAACCACCACACTCCCGTCACCACCACCACACTCCGTCACCACCACCACCACTCACCACCACACTCCGTCACCACCACCACACTCCGTCACCGTCACCACCACCACCACACTCCGTCACCACCACCACACTCCGTCACCACCACCACACCACCACACTCCGTCACCACCAACACCACCACCACACTCCGTCACCACCACCACCACACTCCGTCACCACCACCACACTCCGTCACCACCACCTCCACACTCCGTCACCACCACCACCACCACACTCCGTCACCACCTCCACCACCACCACACTCGGTCACCACCACCACCACACTCCGTCACCACCTCCACCACCACACTCCGTCACCACCACCACACTCCATCACCACCACCACACTCCGTCACCACCACCACCACCACACTCCGTCACCACCACCACACTCCGTCACCACCACCACCACCACACTCCGTCACCACCATCACACTCCGTCACCACAACCACCACACTCCCTCACCACTACCACACTCCGTCACCACCACCACCACCACCACACTCCGTCACCACCACCACACTCCGTCACCACCACAACACTCCGTCACCACCACCACACTCCGTCACCACCACCACCACACTCCGTCACCACCACCACACTCCGTCACCACCACCACCACACTCCGTCACCACCACCACACTCCGTCACCACAACCACCACACTCCCTCACCACCACCACACTCCGTCACCACCACCACCACCACCACACTCCGTCACCACCACCACACTCCGTCACCACCACCACCACACTCCGTCACCACCACCACACTCCGTCACCACCACCACCACCACACTCCGTCACCACCAACACCACCACCACACTCCGTCACCACCACCACCACACTCCGTCACCACCACCACACTCCGTCACCACCACCTCCACACTCCGTCACCACCACCACCACCACACTCCGTCACCACCTCCACCACCACCACACTCGGTCACCACCACCACCACACTCCGTCACCACCACCACACTCCGTCACCACCACCACACTCCGTCACCACCACCACACTCCGTCACCACCACCACCACACTCCGTCACCACCACACTCCGTCACCACCGCCACCACCACACTCCGTCACCACCACCACCACCACACTCCGTCACCACCACCACCACACTCCGTCACCACCACCACCACCACACTCCGTCACCACCACCACCACCACACTCCGTCACCACCACCACACTCCGTCACCACCACCACACTCCGTCACCACCACCACCACCACCACCACCACACTCCGTCACCACCACCACCACACTCCGTCACCACCACCACCACCACACTCCGTCACCACCACCACCACACTCCGTCACCACCACCACCACCACACTCCGTCACCACCACCACACTCCATCACCACCACCACACTCCGTCACCACCACCACCACCACCACCACACTCCGTCACCACCACCACACTCCGTCACCACCACCACCACCACACTCCGTCACCACCATCACACTCCGTCACCACAACCACCACACTCCCTCACCACCACCACACTCCGTCACCACCACCACCACCACACTCCGTCACCACCACCACACTCCGTCACCACCACAACACTCCGTCACCACCACCACACTCCGTCACCACCACCACCACCACCACACTCCGTCACCACCACCACCACACTCCGTCACCACCACCACCACACTCCGTCACCACCACCACCACCACACTCCGTCACCATCACCACACTCCGTCACCACCACCACCACACTCCGTCACCACCACCACCACCACCACACTCCGTCACCACCACAACCACACTCCGTCACCACCACCACACTCCGTCACCACCGCCACACTCCGTCACCACCACCACACTCCATCACCACCACCACCACCACACTCCGTCACCACCACCACCACCACACTCCGTTACCACCACCGCCACACTCCATCACCACCACCACACTCCGTCACCACCACCACCACCACACTCCGTCACCACTACCACACTCCGTCACCACAACCACCACACTCCCTCACCACCACCACACTCCGTCACCACCACCAACACCACACTCCGTCACCACCACCACACTCCGTCACCACCACCACCACACTCCGTCACCACCACCACACTCCGTCACCACCACCACCACCACACTCCGTCACCACCACCACCACCACACTCCGTCACCACCACCACCACCACACTCCGTCACCACCACCACCACACTCTGTCACCACCACCACCACACTCCGTCACCACCACCACCACCACCACACTCCGTCACCACCACCACCACCACACTCCGTCACCACCACCACACTCCGTCACCACCGCCACACTCCGTCACCACCACCACACTCCGTCACCACCACCACCACCACACTCCGTCACCACCACCACCACACTCCGTCACCACCACCACCGCCGCCGCCACCACCACCACCACACTCCGTCACCACCACCACACTCCGTCACCACCACCACCACACTCCGTCACCACCACCACACTCTGCCACCACCACCACACTCCGTCACCACCACCACCACCGCCGCCGCCACGCTCTCACGAGAATACAGCAAAAAGACAAAGATTCCCGAAAGGATTTAACCGACTGTTGAGGCAAGTGCTTTTAGCGAGCTTCTGTGAAGGCGGGCACGGCACACGAGGGTGGGTGGGTCGCCAGCAGCACGCCCGGCCGCCTTTGTCTCCCCAGTGGCGATGTTTACACACCGCACCAGGTACTCATTTGAGGCTGAGTCGACATAGGAGAGGCCCAGGACCGGTTCAGATAATTATCGTCACTGGTGTTGGCCGTGAGCGGGAATCGAACCCGGGTTGTCGAGTTGGTAGCGCAGCGCGCTAACCGCCACACCACCGCTCGTCAAAATACACCACCGCACGCTACCACACACCACCACTCTCACCACCACACTCACCACCACACTCTTCACCACCACACACACATCCTCTACACCCAACTCACCACCCCACGTCACCACACCTCACATCCCAACGAAACCATGTTGCAGTGTTGCAGTACACACACCGTGCAGAAGCAGTGATCACCCTCACTCTCACCGAGGACATGCAAACCTTTCCCGCTGTAGGCAAAACCCAGACGTGTTTCTCGGCCACCCTAGGTCTATCAACACCGTGCAGTATCTGAAATGAAGTTCAATGCAGCAAGACCGGTACCAGATCTCGAGTACAAATCCATTCCTGGCGCCCACCCGAACGGGGATCACGCCAATCCCAAACGGTCCGACCAGATCAAACCCAGACGGGTGGCGACCACACTCCAGCCCTGGTCCTGAAATTCACTCCGGCCACTGCCCTGCCCGCCAGCGTTGCCGGACCCTCACCGCTGCTGGGGATGTTGAACCTGACCAGGAACGGCTCGCGACTGAACGTGTCGGTGCCGCACGACTCGCAGCCATCGTCGTAGTGGTAGCTGCTGGAGACAGACACGACCTTGTCCCTGTGGAGACAAGAGACACGAGCTGATCCCTGCGGAGAGCAGCAGCAACAGCAGCAGCACTGTTGCAGCTAGATGACGGCATATTTTATTTGAGAGAAAGGGCTTCGAAAATGCAAAGTGTGGAAGGTGTTTACAAAAATCTCTGATGAGAAGGTTCGATGCTCAAGAGAAAACACATCTCTAGATAATACCTTCTAGGACCACGTGGAGATGACCTATAAGGGTAGGGCAGTCCAGTCCAGCTTTGCTGCGGTACATGCACTGCTGCGTGTCACCTGTAGATGTTTCTGTAGCTGCGTATTACCTATACGTATCTCCTGCAAGTGGGTGTCACTTGTAGCTACGTTTACCACCTGTAGGTGTCACCTGTAGGTGAATGTCACATGTAGCTGCGTGTCACCTGTAGTTGGGTGTTACCTGTAGATGTAGACGTAGCGCTCTGTGTAGGTGGAGCTGCCGAGCTGATCGCTGGCCAAGTATTCGTAGTGATGGGCTGAGGCACTGTAGCACATGTGCAGAATGAGCCCAGGTGAGACAAATACAGCGGTGATACCCTGACTCGCATCCCTGCTATCTTCTCGAGTCCTATCTACAAATCCCTCGAATCCCTCACATCCTTCAGATCACGCCATCTGGCGTTTATGACCAGGCCTCAGCGAAAACACAGGACGCCAACTCGAAAGGCTTCCGGGAAAATTAACATCTCTCGTTCTGTACTTTCACAGTCCCAATTAGATATTTATTCCGATCGCTCCATCGCGACCTACTCCTCCCCGCGACCTCCCCCCACGTGAAGTCTTCTCACCGTGACCTCTCCTCACCGTGACACCGGTCCTCTCACCTGTTGAGCTGGCTCATGAGCAGCTTGACGGCGCTGAGGTCCGAGTCCCGGACCTCTTGCACGACGACGATGTCAAAGAGGCTGATGACCTGAGGAAGAGACAGATTTCTGGAATTTGGTGAAGAGATGACCGTGTTGTACCAGCTTTGGTGCTCGTTATTGGGAGCTGTACTCCTTCCCAGCGACCGCTGCGATAGGCCCGGGATTGGCGAATAGCTTGGCACTGGGGGTGAACAAGCTGGCACAAAGGGCTAATGATCTCCATCCATGGATCTCATTATCTCATACCTGGTGAACAGACAGATTACTTGGTATCTTGGAAAGATATCTGTTATCTGTAAATAGAGATTATGTGACGGTAGAGGCAGATTATCTCATGTATCAACAGAGTTATCTGGTAGATACAGAAGAACTGATCTCTGGGGAAGAGATTTTTATTATCCGGCCGGGTGGCTCAGCGTTGAGAGTGAGCAGCTTGCAAACAGAAGTTTAAATCCTTGTTGGGAGATTGACTTGGCCCATCATGCCTTCGGGGTCAGTAAAATAGATACCACTTTGTGGGGAAGCCATATTGGTTGTCCAATTAATAGACTTGCCTCCTTCATAGAAATGTGGAATGGTCACCACTGGCTCAGGGCGGCAAGCGGGATGAGCCCAGCCTCAAAGTTCATCAGAGCAGCGATCTGTCGTTTGGAGAAGCGATGGATTGGCATCTGGTATAATGGTAGACAGGCATTCGGGACCGGTGAGGGCATGGCGAGGACAAGGAGGCATTTACATCCACGATGACCTTCGCCACGTCGGGCTTGGACATCTTGGCATCGCCGAACGTCTGGATGTTGAAGGCGGCGATGCGTATCGACTCGGCCATTCCCATCGCGACTGCGAGCAGCGTTGCGGCGAGCAGGAGCTTCATGGTTGCAAACTTGGATCAAACCTGCACCGAGACACCAGACGGACGTGGCTGGACACACCACCCAGGCCGCCCGCCTGACCCCACACCACGCGGCCTCGCGTCGCACTACCTCCGCCACTTGTCTTCACGGATGAAGATCGTCGTCGCAGTAGCTACAAGGCATGAGAAGGGTACGGCATCGGACTGGCGGCAGGGACAGGCATTAATGACAGCCGAAATTGATCTTAAGGTATATATGAGCGACACGCCTCACACATTGTGGAAATTCACCGACTTGGGTGATATTGATAAACGCTCTAATTTCACAAGCATCAAGCCTCAAAGAGGCGGGCTCACACCCTCATCAAAGACATAAACATAGCATTGGCAAAACCGTCCAATCCACTTGAACAGCTGGCCAGCCAGCACGTGCAAATGTCCGGAACAAGCCGTAGCCAAAATATCGTAGAGCTACTGTGGACCAAGGCTTGAGCCAGGAGACCATTGAGGATCATCTACGCAAAGACATAGCCCAGGACGAGTTCAGAAGGAAACTCGCACGCACGAGGAGTGAGACGCTCCAGCAACCCCAGCGCACGCCACAGCAGAGCACGGCGCTCCTTTGTGGGCCGATAATTATAGCCACACAACTGCGCAGAACTTATGTTTATCAGTTGCACAGCAGAAGACAAAATATCCAAAACACCTAGCAGCCAGCAACAAACACGATTACATTTTGTAACAGATAAAGTTCATACAAGAGGTGAGTCAATGGCGACACAACTCCTGCACTGTGCCACCCTGAACTCTTATGTAAATCTGTGGAAATCTACGAGTCTTATCAGTCTCTGTGGGTTCACATATTAGTGAACTACTGGCAACCGCGAAAATTGGAGGTTCTGAAACAATTCACCCTCAACTGAAGCGATTTCCTGGCAAACAAGTGTGGACGCAGGCTTCTAAGTTTCCAATCATCCAGCCATGCCCAGGAGAGACGCGACAGGAACAGCATTCGGGAGCATTAACAGCACTGCTATTGTGAGCTTACCTCCAGTCCTGACCTGCCCTCCAGCAGTCCCGCTCGTAGAACTTATATACGAGCGCACACACACAGACATTCCTCCCACGTCAGGCGGGACCCAGAGCCTCCGTTTGGGCATTTATCTTATCTTGTGAGCACCGCCTGGCCACTTCCCAGCGCCGGCATGAGTACACTCACCTTTGCACGCAACATGGGCTCTCGCAGAGCACCTGGGAATGTTCCAGGCGGTGGCTCACGATAGCCAAGGCTTGAGAATGCACCGCTCACAGGAGGGTCTCGCAGCTCCTCCACTCCTCCCACCGAAACCCCCTTCCCCTCACCAGATCCCGCACATTCCTTGGGCCCCACGCCCCCAGTTCCTGGCATGAACAGGAGTGACGCGGGCACGCGGCAAGCCGGAGAACCCAACGCTGCTCACCCAAGTGTGGCCGCGTCAACTGAACGGGAAAAAAATAAAAGCCGCTCTTTGTCCGGCCTGAACGTCAGGTTGGATACTGTCACTCTCTGAATGACAAGTGGCTTGGAGCTGCGGAAGGCAAGACCCACGGGGAGCGGGACTCTGCGCCCCCACCTCATGGGAGCCGAACCATGCCGAGACACCTGCACGGCTGCCACTTTTACCCTTTAGGGCGGCAATTGCGGTCACCAATTGATCGGCTACCGCAGGCGTAAACACACATCCACTTAAGGTTTCAAAAGAACACTTTATTGATGCAAAATATGACGAGGACACATACGGTTGCATTTTGTCGGAATCCCTCAAGCATCCGGCAAGACAATCTACCCCCCCACCTCCTTCTCCGCGGTGGCTTCAAACCCCTCTCACTGCATGGCCACCCTTCGTCCAAGTGCTCACGTTCTGGTGATGCAAATCGCGAGTCAACCGGGAAACTCTCACTTTTCTCAGGGCCACAAAAACACGCTGCGAATGTTCATCGCGGCCTTCGACTATGATCGCCGCTCGCTCTCCCCACCCCCCTGGGGACCCACGTGCCAGCGCCGCTACTCCAGCACCACGAGGCCCCCCGCGGCCTCCAGTGCGGCCTTGAGCTGGTTGGCCTCTTCCTTGGGGACGTTGGCCTTGATCTCCTGCGGCAGCGATTCCACCAGCTTCTTGGCCTAAAGCACAACGTTCAGCAACGATGTGCACGGTGTGGTAAGCCGACGGCAATATATTTTTTTCTTGGGCCAAGTAATTATCTGGCCAAATTTTGTGCCGTTAAGACCCTCCACCACCCGACACAGCCAAACAAATTAAATTGTCACGCGGTGTACGAGCATTTAAGGTGCCAATTGTTTCAGCTCACTCACACGGCGAGGTGAAGAACAATTCTTACAACTAAAACAGGAAAGCCTGAGCGAGTCTCAACACAATTACAGGGAGATCCTGCATTTGGATGTTTGACCAGCTCTTTGAGATTCGATGAGACACGTGGCTTGTGGAAGGAAACTGGGGAACCCCGCAGAAAACCCACCAAATAATGAGGGGACAACACTCAATGATTAACAACAGATTTAACAGACAGATATTTTTCTGCACCGCCATCTCCTGGTCACCTCACCATCCCAGCCTGCAAGATACGGCATTCCCAGGTAGTCTCCCATTCTAGTATTATACTAACCAGGTTCAGCTCTGCTTAGCTTCTGAGATCCAATGAGACAAGTGGGGCTTGAGGGTGATTTGTGTGTTTTTGATTGGGTGTGATGTTCACTATCTCATCAACTCTTGCCTTTGTGTGCGTGTGTTGGTTTGTTGCAGTTGTGGGTGTTAGTGGTGGGAGTATGGGGAGCGGTAGTGTAGCGGTTAGCGTGCTGCACAATGAACCTGGTGACCCGGTTTCGATTCCTGCTCACAGCCAACACCAGTCATGATTATCTGTAGCTGGTCCTAGATCTCCCCTAGGTCGACTCGGCCTCAAATAAGTACCTGGTGCAATGTGTAAACAATACCACTAGCGAGACAAAGGCAGCCGGATGTGTTGCTGGCCACCCATCCCCTCGTTTACCGTGCCGGCCTTCATAGGTGCTCGCTAACGGGAATTGCTCCTACAGTTTGTTACAGGCTATAGGGGGATCTTTGTCTTTGATGTTCACTACATTAATTCCAAATGTACAAGTTATCGATTTCAACGTTTGTTTATGTGTCATTACGCGTTGTTACGTGTTTGCTGTGCCAGTGTACACACGTGTGTTTTGAAGGTCTGCATCACCTGACCTTCTGGACACCCCGGCAAATGAGACGTTCCTTCTGAGGTTAAATCCAGATGAATACTTGAAGAGATAAGGAGATTTGGCTGTCGGCGTGTGATTGTTATTGCTCACTGCGGCACGCTGTGCGGCCGGGCAAAGCGCTCACCTGCACGAGGTTGAGCCCGGGTATGCAGGCCTTCACCTCCTTGATGAGCTTCACCTTGTCGGAGCCACGCACCTCCGTGAGGCGAACCACGAAGTGAGTCTTCTCCTTCTTGACCGGAGCGTCCTCCTCCTGAACGGCATGCACAGGAGGGGCGAGCAGTGAGGAGCGGGTGGTGAGGAACGGACGGGGAGGAGGAACGAGCAGTGAGGAGTAAGTGGTGAGGAGCAAGCGATAAGGAGAAGCGAGCGGGTGAGGGGCTAGCGATGAGCAATCAAGGGTGAGGAGGAATCAGCGGCGAGGAGAAGCCAGCGGTCAGAAGCGAGTGTTGAGAAGCGCGCAGTGAGGAGCGAGCAGCGAGGAATGGGCGGTGAGGAGTGAATGGTGAGGAGGAACGAGTGGTTGCATGCGAGCGGCGAGCAGGTGTGAGCTTGTGCACGTGTGGAGCTGCAGGCAGGCCGAGCGGGCAGCGTGCAATGAGAAGTCACGGGAGATGTCGCCACTCACCGCCTCGGCAGGCGCCGCGGCTGAGGTGGCAGCAGCCATCGGCATAAACCCCACGTCCTGGATGTCCAGAGTTTTCTGCGAGGGCACGACAAGCGACGCGTGAATGCGCGGACATCATCTCAAGGCGCGGACGCCATCATCTCAAGGCGGCAGTGGAGGGCGCGGCGTACCTTGAGCAGCTTGTTCAGGTCCGCCACCTCGAGGAGGCTGAGGCTCGTGATGTCGCTCACGAGCTGCTGGACCTTGGGCGAGAATTTGTGAGGGTCCGCGTCCAGGGGCGGCGCCGCGAGCGCGTCCGCGGGTCGCAGAGACGAGGTGCCCAGGCAGCGCAGGGCGCAGGGAACCCCTCCCTGCCTGCGGAAACAGCACGTCTTTAACCATGGCCCAGTGTCTGTGTCTCACTCCGGCCCAGTCTTTTACCATGGCCCAGTGTCTGTGTCTAACCCCAGTCCAGCCTCTCGCCATGGCCCAGTGTCTGTGTCTCACCCCGGCCCAGTGTCTCACCCCGGCCCAGTGTCTCACCCCGGCCCAGTGTCTGGGTCTCACCCCGGCCCAGTGTCTCACCCCGGCCCAGTGGCTGTGTCTAACCCCGGCCCAGTGTCTCGCCATGGCCCAGTGTCTGTGTCTAACCCCGGCCCAGTCTCTCGCCATGGCCCAGTGTCTGTGTCTAATCCCGGCCCAGTCTCTAGCCATGGCCCAGTGTCTGTGTCTAACCCCAGCCCAGTGTCTCGCCATGGCCCAGTGTCTGTGTCTAACCCCAGCCCAGTCTCTCGCCATGGCCTGTGTCTGTGTCTAACCCCGGCCCAGTCTCTCGCCATGGCCCAGTGTCTGTGTCTAACCCCGGCCCAGTGTCTCACCCCGGCCCAGTGTCTGTGTCTAACCCTGGCCCAGTCTCTAGCCATGGCCCAGTGTCTGTGTCTAACCCCGGCCCAGTGTCTCGCCATGGCCCAGTGTCTGTGTCTAGCCCCAGCCCAGTCTCTCGCCATGGCCCAGTGTCTGTGTCTAACCCCGGCCCAGTCTCTAGCCATGGCCCAGTGTCTGTGTCTAACCCCGGCCTAGTCTCTCGCCATGGCCCAGTGTCTGTGTCTAACCCCGGCCCAGTCTCTAGCCATGGCTCAGTGTCTGTGTCTAACCCTGGCTCAGTCTCTAGCCATGGCCCAGTGTCTGTGTCTAACCCCGGCCCAGTGTCTCGCCATGGCCCAGTGTCTGTGTCTAACCCCGGCCCAGTGTCTCGCCATGGCCCAGTGTCTGTGTCTCACCCCGGCCCAGTCTCTCGCCATGGCCCAGTGTCTGTGTCTAACCCCGGCCTAGTCTCTCGCCATGGCCCAGTGTCTGTGTCTCACCCCGGCCCAGTGTCTCACCCCGGCCCAGTGTTTGTGTTTCACCCCAGCCCAGTCTCCAGCCATGGCCCAGTGTCTGTGTCTAACCCCAGCCCAGTCTCTAGCCATGGCCCAGTGTCTGTGTTTCACCCCAGCCCAGTCTCCAGCCATGGCCCAGTGTCTGTGTCTAACCCCGGCCCAGTGTCTGTGTCTAACCCCGGCCCAGTCTCTAGCCATGGCCCAGTGTCTGTGTCTCACCCCGACCCAGTCTCTCGCCATGGCCCAGTGTCTGACCCCGGCCCAGTCTCTAGCCATGGCCCAGTGTCTGTGTCTAACCCCGGCCCAGTCTCTAGCCATGGCCCAGTGTCTGTGTCTCACCCCGACCCAGTCTCTCGCCATGGCCCAGTGTCTGTGTCTCACCCCGGCCCAGTCTCTCGCCATGGCCCAGTGTCTGTGTCTAACCCCGGCCCAGTCTCTCGCCATGGCCCAGTGTCTGTGTCTAACCCCAGCCCAGTGTCTCACCCCGGCCCAGTCTCTCGCCGCGTACCCTTCATTACCTGCTCAGCTGGCGGCACAAGCGCAGCGCCCCCAGCATCGTGCGGCGAGACCGGTGACGGAGAGAGAGAGAGGAGAGGAAGACACTGGACGGGTCCCTGGTCTTAGTCCGGCTTGGAGTACCGCGCCCGGCCTCGGCACTCTCCTCCAGCAGCACCACCACCACGAGCAGCACCACGAGCTAGACCTCCACCACCACCACCACGAGCAGCAGCACCACCACCACGAGTAGCAACAACAGCCACGCTCTCGCCTCTCTTCCTCCTCCTCGCTGCTGCTGCTGCTCAGGCAACCACGCGACACGGGACGCGACCTCTGCACGCGCAGAACACGCCGCCCCCCACAAGCACCCGCGAGAAGCACCTCCACCACATCCGGGTCAAGGGGGGCGCGAGTCCGTGACGTCGTCAAACAGACCCACGACCGGACGTTGCGGCCATGTTGGTCAGGTCAGCATCTTCGCGGGCGCTCGTGATGGTGAGACTTCTCCTGCGGTCTCGTCGTAGTGTGGCGCGGCGTCTCTCGTGGCGTCTGTCTTGTGAGTGGAATGTCCCCCCCCCCCCCCGCGACCTCAAATGCATCTCGGGGTGCGCTTTCCGTTGCCTTGCGCCTTTGCGGGAGAGAGTTCGCGTCGTTTCGATGGTCCGTTGACGGAGCGCGTTCGTGTGTACAGTAACTGTATCAGAAAACTAAATTTCCCCGTACAAGAATACGGGCTAAACCGTATGGGTTGACACGGTATGTCTCTACGAGTCTCGAATGAGGCGTTTGTTCCGGACGTCCGCGTTGCTCCACGCCGTCAGCCATCGGGGTTTTTTTTTGTGTCCCAATCCGGAACGTGGGTTGAGATTATGGGACGGTGACCGCAAACAGGGCGCGATCCCACAAGGCGACATCGTCCAGACACCGCTTGGCCGACGGGTCGGTGGTCCTCGTAGGCAAATAAAACATGTCAACGCCCTCGCGGGTTGCGAGTTTTCCGCGGATATTTTGGTGAGAATGCTCGCCATGTCGGGGTTAGGGACATTGGTTGCGGTGCTCCGGTTATGATTGCGTTTCCCGTTATTCTCAAGCTACGTGCATCTACCGAGGAGATCGGTGCAATACGGGGGTAGTTTGCAGTAGGTCAGCCGAGGCGCCCGATGTTGTTCCTGCAAAATTGCTGAAGCAGTGATTCTTGATTTGAAAGTCAGGCTTCTATCCACGGAAACGCGTAAAGTGTATGTTTAAATCCATTCGCACGGCACGTAGCCAACCGTACAAATCTTGGGGTGGGGTCATAGCGGACTGGGTTTACCACACGCCGCATCAAGGGTGGCAATGTGCCGTGCGATTGTTGCGGTGGGAAGTGCTTGTGGGTGGTTTCTAGGCTATGGTCAGATTCTCCAGCTTACAGAAATAAACAAGGCTGTGTTCTAGATGTGTGAGCCCTGTGCAGCAAGGACTATGTCATCTGCACGTATGAATTTGCGAGATGATGTACATGGCAGGTCACTTTGGCTTTGTGTTTGGCAACTCTTGAGATAAATTAAGTTGATTTGAGTGAGACAGGGTGAGTAGGCAGTATATAGGTTAGGGGCCGTCCATAAATGACGTCACGTGATTTGACGCTTTTGACCCCCCCTTTCGTCACATAACGTCACAAAGTCAGACCCCCCTCAAATGACGTCACAAAGCTCTGCCCCCCCCCCCCCCCAAATTTGTTTTTAACATGCTTCAAATCGCTTTAAACTATTGATATTGTAGTGCGTATTTATTGTGGCGCTGCACTCTGATGTTGTAGGAGAAAACATTTATTAAAAAGTATATTTAAGTAGAACGTGTTGTCTATATTTATTTAAAGTTGCGCATTTTGATGTGACGTCACATTTCTCAACCCCCCCCCCCTCCAGGTGCGTCACGTAATTTATGGACGGCCCTTTATTATGTTTAACTTCTTTCGCACCATACATTGCCAAAAAGTGCTAATAGGAGGGTTCAAGCAGTGAAATATTTTCTGAAAACTCGAAGAAAAACAAAGAAACCGAAACCCAATAATCTGAGCGGTGAAGCCAAGAATCTGAGGCAGAGAAACATTGAAGACATTGAAGGTTACACAGGCAAGGGGAATTCCATTCTCGGAAAGACGTGGGGCGGGGTTGAGTAAATACAGTATTTATATCATCTTATTTCGATCTTGGCTTACAAGAGCTTGTATTACTGCATCAATTCGTACAAAGTCAAATAACTTTTCTCACAGCAGTCGATTAGGTAAATTGGAAGGAACAAATCCCAATGCATCGAATTGGGGTCGGCAGCCGAAATAACAAGACGAGACATTTGTTTCTAATTCGGTAAAAAAAAGTTTTTAAAGAGAAGCAATACATGCGATTACGAAGAGACGCTCTTTAATAAAGCGTCACGAAGCAGTCCTTAAAGGGCCGCATGCGACCACTGGCCTGGAAGATAAAAACGATTAAGATGGATTTCGCGGTCGTCACTACTTTATGTAATTAATTAACTTATACAGTACGAGAATGGTAGTGCACAGCTTCACCTGACACTTCATTTTTGATCAATCCTTCTGACTTGTGCAAAATATTATAGAATGCTATTGTTGAGTATTAAATGTTCATTATGTAAGACAAATAGGCAAATGGTTAATTTGAGGCCTAAATTTGGGATACATAACAAAAGGTTTGCTTCAACCACTTAATGAATTACGGATCACTTTTAAATAAAAATGTGAAACAGTTGTATAAACCAGGAGCGTAAGTTACAGCCACACGCTCGTCTAAAGCCATCCTGCTACATCGGCAAGTCAGTATCAGTCAGCGAGTCCAATGCAAATAATACAACACAGTTTCAGTCGCTAAGTGCTCGTCGGAACATTCGATTGAGGGGCACATTGATTCACCCACACCCCAGCGACTTAATTTTCGCGATTCGGGGCCACAATTCATTTCAAGAAGGGATTAATTTTGGCCAAATTTTTCAACTTTTAATTTATTTCTTCTGTCGTTTGTACAGTTTTGTTTGTTTCATCAGCTTAAATGTAACAGCATATAATTTAAGTGAATATAAAAGCATAAATTACCATATGAATAAATGCATAGGTCTTCAAAATGGATATTAATTGATGAAACAGTGTTTGGTCACACCGCTACTCGGAAGCCAAACCTGGGTGGGCGATGGTGGGTGTGACAGGATGAGCACGTGATAGTCATCCTTCTGTGACAGGGTCAGCTGGTGGTGGTCGTTCAGACAACATTGTATTTGTTCGTGTGTCTAGCTGCATCTGATCTCTGAGGGGGATCAGAAGTCATTGTCGCTCTCAGGGAGAGGATTAGGTTTCCTAGGTGTGGGGTCTCCACGCCCACGGGGGCGGAGGGGGCCGTGCTCCACACCAGCAATACCACCCATATCCTCAACATCATCGTCATCTTCATCTCCCTCGTCTTCCTCATCCTCTTCACTGTTGCTGATGGTGCCACTGTCATCCTGTAAAGAACGGGAGCACGCATCTCATTACTAAAACCGTCGATCGATCACTGCACTCTGCTGCCATCCCTTCTCATCACTAAGAACTGGGAGGTTTTTGCGCATCAAACTCACAATGCCTTGGTTATTTTCGGAGGGTGGTCCTGGCTTTCTGCATCTCAAATTCATACGTTGATGACAGCACAGCTATAGGTTGGGGCCGCACAGATCTGCATGTACATCATTAGACCTCCTTTTGCCAGTACCAAAATGTAATAATAGGGTTTTTTTCCCCTTTTTTTCTGGCAACAAAACTGAAACCTTTTTACAAGGATTCATGTCTGCATTAACCACAATACCTGCAGTCAAAATGAAAAAAAAAACATGCTATGATAATATATGCATTGTCCTTGAAACTGATTGGTCCACACCAAGGGACGGCTTTCTTTTGAGCCTCGACCCAATTGGTGCTCGACCAGATGACGCCAGAATAATAATACGCCTATTATTAGATCTGCATGTGTGAACGCATGTGCCGACGTCACACAAAGCTTTGGCACCCATGTGGCAGGGCTGCAGCCATACCCAGTATAAAGGGTGTAAACAAGGGCCACAGGATTCTGCACAGTAGCAGTGAGAATGCCTTTTTAGAGAGAATAATTGAGTGAGACGTGGTCGTAGGTAATTGGTTTACACGCAACTGTGTTGGAAATGGGACCTTCAGTGTGACTGATACTTTCAGCTACAGCATCAGATTTGATCAACATCCGGTCTCCAGATTAGATTCAATGCAGAGCTCATAACATGTAAATAAAAAAGAAGCCAAGCAGAATAGATAAGATGGCACATTACAAGCAGCTTGATTTCCAGTGCATTCATTGCCAATGGGAGTTTTAAAGTGCATTCACAACCAATGAAAATGAGTGGCGGTGGGTGGCTGGACCAAAGTCAGCGAGCAGAATTCGTGCTGGTGGACATGACAGGGTGGGTAGGTGGGTAACGGTGCGTGGGTGTGACATGATGGGTGGGCGATCTCTTAGACTGTGGTTGGGATTTTCTTTTGCAATTGTTCGAGTGTATCGTTGCATCTGATCTCTCTGAGAGGTCAGATCACTTGCACACACCTGGGCGCTGCCCTCCTTGGGCCGAAGTACCTTTCTGCCGGCGAACAGGGAAGGCTTGGACAGAGAGAGTGCAACCGAGGACAACCAGAGCATGAACATTGCGGACAGAGACAAAACCACATGCCGAATTGCATGTCCCCTTCCGCTTAACGGCGTACCACACCGTTAAGCAATGATGGGGTTAGGTTTGCGCCAATGATGTAGTTTTGCTGAGAGGTGGTGCGTGGGCATGGTAACGATTCAACATCAACGATTCAATCAAATAGCCCGATTACAGATTGCTATTCAAATCAAGAATCAATTATTATCTTATTATTTATCTGTTTTGTGCCTTGTTTATACAGATTTGTCCCGTAAACCTTGTCACATTTAGCATATCATTTGAATGATATATTAATTGTCACATTCGCATTTTTACGTAATTTGCGTTGAGCCTAATAGAATATCACTTTCAAGATTTTATACGTGTTTTGCGGGCGTAAGAATGTTTGAATGTATTTATTCGATGCGTCGTTACATGCCCAGTGAAACACAGCGTGAGGGCACCCCCAGTGGTGAAGATGTAGAGTAGTTGCGTTAGAGCAGCACTGAGGTGATGCTGTGAGCCAGGCTGATGAAGAGGCGATGAGAATAGGCTTAACGATGTGGTTTACCTCATCATCCTCTGTGTCTCCCCCCTGCATGGTTCCTCGCACGAGCGAAGCGCCATATCCTACACATGCACGCAATCCGGTGTCAACTTCCCTTAAGGTGAGAATTCACTGAGACATCGAGCCTCTTACCAGGGTGACCTGAGTCAACAAGTGACAGCAGCATAGTGTAATACAGGAAGTATGTAAACTTGAGTGTTTACTCTCATTATGCACAGGCAGGCCACATCAGCAAACAACAGCATGGAATAGGGGTGTTAATCGTTTAGGATTTAAACATGAGCAACGTCTTAATGTTTAAAATTTTTTAACATGCCCCGTGTTTTGTAGGTGCGTGTAGCTCCGCATTGCCGTCTCTCGAGCTCTGTCTTTCCCCCTGGTTTTGTATTGTTATGCGAAGAGCATCAACACACCAACGGTGAATACATACAGAATACATACAGTTGCAATAATATTTGATTATTTCAATAACGTTGAGAGAATACTTTTAATCTCGATTTGAAGCTTTCGTGACTGCAGGAATCCATACTCTTTGGTTCTTTCGGTAAAGTCACCACGTAGTTAGAAATAAAATAAAAACAGTTTTGTTTAAATATTTCATAAATTAAACATGCAGTCTATCACCGTGAACGTGGAAGAACGTGAGTATGCACGTGCGACCGTCTTCCACATGCACAAGAGTGTAGCAGCGCTGGTGGGCGAGCACCTGCCCTTCATCTGAGCCTCGAGCACATGTGTTCACGGGTTCATGGGTTTGCGTACCAGGCCGTAGGTTCTGGCTCCGTAGGGCGAGACGTGGCTTGTTGGGCCGGACATCCTCTTCGCTCTCCTCGCTCTCATTTCCTGGAACCATGTCCAGCTCCGAGTCCTCCTCATTGTCTGCGGACACACACACAGAGAGCGGCTTTTCCCCCAGCCTTCTGGGAATGTGTTGGCATAAATACAAAACCCCCTCGGCATTCATACTCAGCACTACCTCACAACAAAGTGTATGCTACACTGACATTTTAGGCATTGGTCTTTACACAGAGCAGAAATGCAAGACACAGGCCGATTGACGTACAGTAAAACCTTGGATTGCAAGTAACTTGGTCTGCGAGTGTTTTGCAAGACGAGCAAATTTTTTAAATAAATAATAATTTGATAAACGAGCAAGGTCTTGCAATACGAACAGTACATATACGCTTTGTCTGCCGAGCGTCACGTGATTCCAACTGATATACGAGTGCTTTGGATTACAAACACGTTTCTGGAACGAATTATGCTCGCGATCCAAGGTTTTACTGTACTTGTATTTGAAGATCACACTTTATACTTCTGAAAAGTCTCTTCAGTGTAATTTACCTTCTCCACTGTGCTGTGAAGAAGGGCCATTCCCCAAACCATTCCAGGCAGGGTAAGCAATGAGCATCATCACACAGCGAGTGATGAACGCACGGTACCTGAGAATTCTCCACGGTGCTTCAGCAGCCGCTTCTCTTCCTCTTTCAGCTTACTCTGCATCAGCTTCAGAGTGTTCTCTGCCTCCTGCTCACCACACTCCCCTCTGTGAGACACCCTGCTTTGCACAAAGTACACACCACTGGCCTAGGGGTGGCAATCCTTAATAACGCTCTCACACAGCTCTGTGGTCCCGTCGTGTTGCACTGTAGACAGAAAGGCGATGGTCCAATCCCACTGCTGGATAGTGCTCAGCTAAGACTGAACAATACATTGTAACAATTATGTGGAATTAATATTATTACACCTGTTAATATTATTACACCAGTTTTCACAGTTGGGAGTGACAATTGTCGTTTCCAGATGAAGTTGCGGTGTAATTTTCCCAATGATGTAAATTTAGACCATGATGCCAGCACATGGGCTAATATTTTTCGAATGACGCCACGGGATATTTAATGTCCACTGTGAAGCAGACAGCACGTAGTATTTTGTGGTAAATAGACATCGCATTATTAACCAGGTGGCTTGCCTAATCGAACTGCTAACCTATGCAACAAGCGCCAAATGTGCTACCACTTGGCCAAGTCACCTTCCCTCGTCCGTTGTATGAAAGCAAATATAATTGCGCAGCTACTACACACTTTTATTTCATCACTGCAACAATTATCTGCATATTCTGAGAGAATGTGATGAGGATATAAAAAACACTGGGAACATTCAGACATGGCAGATTTCACAAGTTCATTGGCAAGGGAGCTACAGAAGTGAACTAAAGGGCACATAATTTGAAACAGTGAACAAAAATCTAAATTGTTTCTAGGTTTTTGGTTTACTTAACCATGTTTTTATTAACCATGCCGTAATCATGGGATGTATTTAGTCAAATGAGCCAAGAGTTTCAAAGATTAGTTTCCCGTGGAATCCGAAATGCAAACGTAGGCTTTGCTTTATATATACACATCCAGCACAAAATATTTCCATATCTGACAGAATAAATTTGTGTGCAGACAATCATGCTCCTGGAATAAACACTGCATGAGTTTCTCGCATGCAAAGCCGCACGCCGCACTCCGCTCACTTCCACTCCTCCCACCTCAAACTTTTCCTGCTCCGCACGGCGCTGCTCGTTCAGCTGCTGCTCCAGGAATGCCAGGTTGCGGAACTTCTCCACAAACGCGGTGTAGTTAACCTGCAGCTCCGCTTCCACGGCCTCGTACTCATCCATGAACGCCGGCCTGGGCGCACGCGGAGGAAGAGGGGACGGGAGTCGCTCTCTCCCACCGCAACCTCGGCACACCCACACGCACTCGCCACGACAGCCGAACGGGGCTCTGTGAATCGCACGAGGCAAGAGACGTTCACCTGGCTCGCACCTCTCACCCTCACACTCCCCTCTCGAGCCAGATTGAAGACTTTTAGCCAGTCACTGCATACAAAAATTTTGATTCTGGAAGAGACTAATGAATATCAAAAACCATTATGCCGAGGCTGTGTAGATTATAAAAGTGCATTTTGCTTCCTAATTTTACCTTACGTGGTACCATTTTACATCCGAAGTGCTTTTTATATTTTTAAGCTATATATGTGTGTGTATTCACGTTATTATTTTATTATTATTACAGTATATTTAATCTGGCCAGGTGGCTCAGCGACAGAACAAGCGGCTCACAATCAGAAGGTTGTAAGTTCAAATCCTGGTCGGGGGTTGACTCGACCCACAAGTCCTCCTCGCTTGATAAAATGAGTACCACTTTGTGGGGAAGTCGACAGTGGTTGTCCTACGCAAAGGCTCGCAGACGCTCAGCATGCACAGGAAATAGACCTGACGGTGTGCAGGGTCTGAAGCCTCTTGTGGCTCCTCTCCAGCTCTGCTCTGCGTTTTTCAATCTTAGAGTCCAGGTTGGCCTCGTCAGAAGCCACGTTCTCCAACATGCGCTTTGTCTTCTCCACTTCGTCCTGAAATCGAACACCCACAACTTGTTGGTTGCGGTGCAAACGCAGCTCAGCAGGAGCCCGCTCCTCATTGCGTACCGCTGTGACATCAGATTCTCACGCGGTTGAATGAAAGCGAACGTGTGAATCGATGAGTGCGAGACGTGTGCTAGGAATTTCATGGCAAGAAAGGGTCAATTGCCGACAAAGACATTAGAGTGGTCTCCACAAGGCCAGATGGTGGGATTTCTGTTCACGCGGATTTTGGAGGTTACGTCTCCGGTGTACAATTGCGGGATTGGATGGAGGATAGAAAGTGTTGGCAAGGATATACCGGTTTCTCTCGCGTTATGCGGGAGATGCGTTCCATAAAAAGGGCGCACCAAAGACAGCTGCCTGCTTGTAGTGCATACAGTAAAACACAATGTTGTCCCACATCCAATCGAATAGCCACATGTAGATTGAATTAAAACTGCACATAGAGAAGTTTGGGTATAAATAGGTTCGGCCAATGATATGCAAAATCGCACAAACCGAATCCACAAAGCGAGCTAAACGTACATGCAAATATAGTTTGTGTGCAGAGAAATATATATTCAGTACATGAGTGTGTTGTGTCAACATTGCCTACTTTAATGTTAACCTACAAGCATGTACAGTTGTCCACAGTGTGTTCCCCTGGCTTCTAGCAGAGTTCACATTCATAGCTGTGTGACTTGCTGCACCGCACAGCCGGGCGTGCCGTGTGCACACACTGCGTATGGAGCCAAGTGGTTGTGGGGTGAGTGTGGTGTCGTACCACCACCCCCTTGATGGCAGCGCGCAAGGTTTTCTCCGTCTCGGCCATCTCTAGGGGTCGTGCGATGGCGCTCGTCCGCAAATCCTGCATGCAAACCACAGCGTCCCACGTGAACACTTGCACCTCATAAGCGCAATGTCGGCGTGGAGGCCTGCATCAGGTAAGAGGCAGGATAGAACAATGCAGCACTTCTGCCAGGAGATCAGTCTGTTTCTTTTTTTTTAAACCAGAAGATTAAATAAACCCATTGAGACCTATGAAACATTATTGCCTACTTTACAAGATGTTTTAAGGACACAATGTTTTTAACAAAAAACCCATCTAGACTAAAATATCTAGCAAAATATGAATACGGCTATATAAGATGGTGAATTGCTCGTAAAACATTTAAATATACAAGAAATATATACATTTTGGAAAAAAAAGTGGCCAGATTAGGCAAGTAGGGAGAATGGGAACTTTTTTTTTAACGTGAACAAATTGGCTTAGGGCAGCCAGGGAACACGAAAATAAACACGGTCTTATTAAACATTTACAAAGGGTGACAGAGAGGAAGGCTGCTGCAGGGGCCAACAGGTTAGCCTCAGGTGTTGAGCGAATGCCGTGCGCTGTACTGTGACAGCGATGCTCTCTCTTGTGCCGACAGCATCCTGCAGCTACAACTGCCGCTGCTGTGCAGTTCTCACTCGCAGGTCCACCTCCCTGCCCAGGAGGTCATAGAGGGCAGCTCCCTTCCTCGTGATGTCCGACGCCAGTTGCCGCGACAACTTGAAATCCGTGATCTGAAAGAGTCGGGCACCTCAAAGTTGACCGTTTACTAAAACTAATGAGGTGCTTTCGATTTAAAGCTTTCGTGACTGCAGGGATTCATCTTCTTAGTTCTTTCGGTAAAGTCACGTAGAAGGGAAATAATAAAAATAAAACAATACCGAAAAGAACCAAGAAGATAATGAGGTGCTGTAGCCACGTTTCATTTAACATTCTATTCACTGCTAATTATGACTTTCAAAACGTGATCCAACCCTGAAAAACAATGAAATATATGCAGAATGGATTATACTCAGTTGAAGTCTTACTACGTTTTAATGAGTACCACTTTGTGGGGACTTCAACAGTTGTCTTTTAGATTCACTCACCCCTGCCAATGGAATGTGGAATTTCCACCACTGACTGTAGTGTTTTATTTGGAAATGAGCACGACCTTAATGCTTGATGATCAGGAAATCACTTATTTAATTTTGATATCTTAACATTAAAAGGGTTACCATTGATATCTTGGTCACAAATACCCGATGTTCGGTGTACTTTTCTTCAGCATTTCATGGGGTTTGGCTGTGTAATATGAAAATGCGACATACGCGTGAGCCCAACTGGAAGGAGAATGTGGGCTCCTCCTGGGGCAGATCCCCCTGGCTGGCGTGTACATTCGAGGCGTGGTAGAGCACGCTTGTCAGCTTGAGCAGCTCCTTCACCGCGTAGCCGTCAGCCTGGTATAGACGCTTGGTGTTCAGCTTGACATGCGCCTTGGTGGCCTGGGGGTACACGGCCCCAACAGCACACGTTCATGCACACCACTGTCAGCCGTGGTGTATCGATGAGGGCCTCTCCAATAGCAAATGGTGTTTAAGCAATTAACTTGACACTAATCATGATAGGCATAATTATGCATCAATGCATTATTCATTGTGATTGTTTACCTCGTATAGCCTTATGGAGTCTTAAGGCTGTTTCAGGAGGGTCCTGATAATTTTATGTAATTTCAGGTGATGACTGATGTTTCTCAATTGTGTGATTTGCACGTATGTTTTCTCACTTGGGAAATTTGGACCACATCTCCAGCATACAACGGCCTACCCTGCTTTGAACAACATCACAAGATCTTTAATGTCCACAAACGAAAATAAAACGAAACCTAAAACATTCAGAGAGGCATGCTTGAAATTGCACCCAGATACAGGAAGAGGAACACAAATGCCAGTACAGTAGGACATCATATTGACTTAATAATAGTGGGTTTAGGCAGAAAACGTCACCTAAAAAAGGCCACTGATTAAGCCTGACGACGAAGTCGTGGCAGGTGAAGGAGGGAACGCACCTGAGAGGATAACCACTGGGGATTTAGCGGCGGGTTCAGCTCACGTGCAGGATTTGTTGCATTGCATAAACCAATCCACCTTTGCTCACATAGTAGTGGTCATCTTGGCAAAACTGATAATGCTATAATACCTTCCTCTTTAATTTTGCCAGACCTCCACAGTTCAATATAAATGCAAGATACGGGTCAAGATTAGTCAGCACAGAGGGTCACTCGCTGCCAGGGCTCAGAATTCAGCGCATGACGATAGAGAAATAAGTGACTGAGCTCAGTGTCCCAGTGAGGTACGGAGGGGGTCTCACCATAAACTCGGCCACCGCCTTGATGAAGAACACTCGATCATGCTCCGTGTCAATGTCTGCAGGAATGTCCGACTGTGGCTCGTACCTACGGCCATGCAGTGTGACAAAACAGGTGAAACCGACACCAGCAGCAGCACTGCTGGCAATTTGAGGTGGCGAGTGGAGAAGCACTGAAGCTGGTGATGCCCCCTGCAGGTGTCACGGGCAACCACGAGGCATCGGCTTCCAGCCAGCAAAACGTTTGTATTCATGTAATATATTTAGTATGATGTCGCATGTAATTAGTTCACGTATACTTTGCATTCACTAAATGTACAACGTGTTACACAAAGACAAGAATGTGTTTCCGAGTCGAATCCCGACCCCGAATCGTGAGTGCCCATCGCATCGTGTGAGAGGAGCCTGGTGACGCTGCCGCGTCTCGTGTGTTTGTGTGTGAGCGCTATGTGCGGCAACCAGCCTCTTCACGAGCCACGCGAGGACCTCGGCCACCAGCGGGAAGTTGGGCTGGCGGAAGTTCTCCATTGAGATGAGGCGCGGGTAGCCCAGGGCCCGCATCATCTCCGTGAAGTCTGCATGCGGCGGTTCACGGTGACCGCGTATGCAGACGGAGACGCCGAGACAAACAGCGAAACATAGAGGCGCGGAAACAGACAACGTTGAGGGAAGCAATGTCGGAGAAACTCGCAAGAAGACGCTTTTAAAACGATGAAAGTATTCAAAACTTTAAAAGATTGATTTCACCAGGTCAGGCCCGCTGAGCTATATAGCGATTTTTTTGTTTTAGAAGCCACGTGGCCAGAAATGATAGCTCAACGTAGTGGCTTAAGTGGAAATTTATAGCAGCCAAATATTCGAAACGCGTGATGTTGATTCCAAATGTGGAGGAAAACCCCAGAGGACCCGGAGAAAAATCCACGGGACTACGGGGAGAGAGGTAGATATGCAAACTATAAATATACAGGCGTCAGGGTCCGGATCGAAGCCACGACCTGCAATACCAGGCGAGGGAGAGATACTGGGGACACGGATACACTCACTGTGGGAAACACTGGGTGAGGGAGAGGCACTCACTGGGTGAGGGAGAGGCACTCACTGGGTGAGGGAGAGGCACTCACTGGGTGAGGGAGAGGCACTCACTGGGTGAGGGAGAGGCACTCACTGGGTGAGGGAGAGGCACTCACTGGGTGAGGGAGAGGCACTCACTGGGTGAGGGAGAGGCACTCACTGGGTGAGGGAGAGGCACTCACTGGGTGAGGGAGAGGCACTCACTGGGTGAGGGAGAGGCACTCACTGGGTGAGGGAGGGGCACTCACTGGGTGAGGGAGAGGCACTCACTGGGTGAAGGAGAGACACTGGGTGAGGGAGAGGCACTGACTGGATAAGGGAGAGACACTCACTGGGTGAGGGAGAGACACTGGGTGAGGGAGACGCACTCACTGGGTGAGGGAGAGGCACTCACTGGGTGAGGGAGAGGCACTCACTGGGGGGAGGGAAACACTCACTGGGTGAGGGAGAGGCACTCACTGGGTGAGGGAGAGGCACTCACTGGGTGAGGGAGAGGCACTCACTGGGTGAGGGAGAGGCACTCACTGGGTGAGGGAGAGGCGCTCACTGGGTGAGGGAGAGACGCTCACTGGGTGAGGGAGAGACGCTCACTGGGTGAGGGAGAGACACTGGGTGAGGGAGAGACACTGGGTGAGGGAGAGACACTGGGTGAGGGAGAGACACTCACTGGGTGAGGGAGAGACACTCACTGGGTGAGGGAGAGACACTCACTGGGTGAGGGAGAGACACTCACTGGGTGAGGGAGAGACACTCACTGGGTGAGGGAGAGACACTCACTGGGTGAGGGAGAGACACTCACTGGGTGAGGGAGAGACACTCACTGGGTGAGGGAGAGACACTCACTGGGTGAGGGAGAGACACTCACTGGGGGGGGAAGACACTGGGGGAGAGAGGAACTCACTTCGCAGATCTCGGTAAGACATGGCGCCGCGTCTCTACCGTCGCTAGGCGCTGACGCAATCTGTGCACTCGAGCTGCGTGACGCGCGATGACGCAATGTCACTCAGAGGAAAAACGTATCAGAGTGACGTCACGGGGGTCGCTACAGGTACGCGTGATGACGTCACGTTCCCCGACAAGGAAATCCGTCCTCGGGTCGCTTCGGCTTCGCGCGGGGACGCAATGTCACTCCGAGGAAAAGCGTATCAGATTGACGTCACAGAGATGGCTACGCGAGATGACGTCGTGTCCCCCGACAAGGAAATCCGTCCTCGGGTAGCTACGGCTACGCGCGATGACGCAATGTCACTCCGAGGAAAAGCGTATCAGAGTGACGTCACGTCCCCCGACAAGGAAATCCTTCCTCGGGTAGCTACGGCTACGGGTGCGCGCTCGCGCGCGCGGTGTGGGGGAGGAGGAGGAGGTCAAAGCGCGTTTCGTGTGAGCAGGGCGCGGCGAGCGGCGAATGGAACTGTGATCGCGATCACCCGCGGGTACGTTGAGCACGTTTAGTGGCACGTCCGTGCGTTCGCGGTGTTCCTCTCCCGCGTCACCGCGGGAGCTTCTGTACGTCGCCGGCGTCTGGGGCGCGTTGGCACGCAGCACCCGATGTGCTTCGGGCATGCCGCCTCGTGCAGCTCGCAATGTGGGGTGGGGGTGGCGATCGCCCGGGCGTGCAAGGCTGTGGCGGCTGCGCTAGTCGACTTGGGAGCTGTTTTCCCCCCCCCCCCCCCCTCGTCGCGCGTGGACGCGGAGCCGGGGAGACGGGAGTCGGCTCGGCCACTATGGGATGAGTGCGGGGAGGGGATGGAGGAGGGGCAGCGCGGGGCTCCGTCGTTGTAACGTTGCCGTAAGGCGGACTCGCGGGGCCCATGCGGAACGTGTTCCGATGTTGCATCGGAACGGGTTCCGATGTTGCACAGGCAGCTGTCAAACTTCCGATGTTGCTCAGGCGCTGTGCAACATCGGAACGTAAAACATCGGAACGTGGTTCCGATGTTAGCAGGCAGCTGCGCGCGATTTAAGAGGTTACGCGCCATTGCTAAGCGTGATGTTAATAAAGAGTCTACCTCGCCTCAGCAGCAGACCCATTGGTTTCCCCTCCTGAAGACGGACGCTTGTGTCGCGCCCGAAACGTCGCGATTTATTTTATTTTATACCTACGTGACTTTACCAAAAAGAACCAAAGAGAGTATGGATTCCTGCAGTCACGAAGGGCTTCAAGTCCTTGATGTTAATGTTAGCAGAAGCAACGTCCGTCCGCATGGCAGAGTTGCGCGTCCTTGCGGGCGATTCATTATTTACCTGGCCCGGGGGGGTTGGACTCATCATTTCTCCACGGGGGTCGATAAAGCACTACCACTTTGCGAATGAGTCGACAGTGGACGTGCTACGGATAGAATCGCCCTCGCCATAGGAATGTGGAATTTCCACCACTGGCTCTCAGATGTGTTGCGCACCCCGTGCCGATTTTGGTAAGTTCACTTAAGACCTTCTTTGGTTCTTTCGGTAAAGTCACGTAGAATGAGAATAAAATAATAAATTGATAAAATAAAATAACACAATAAAATTCTCACGACGTTTCGGCCACAACAATTTATTATTTTATTCTCGTTCTACGTGACTTTACCGAAAGAACCAAAGAAGATGAATCCTTGCAGTCACGAAAGCTTTAAATCGAAATTTCACTTGAGAGACTTTGAATTTCGATGTAAACCCGTCGCCTCCGGCTGTCGTGATGACCGCCGGGTGATTGTGGACCTTTCAGACTCGGCCACCGACCCCTGTGCTGACCCCGTGACACCTCGCACAGCATTGGCAACGCGCACAGCACGAGAGAGAACATCCGATGCGGACGCATGCATCCGCGTGCTTGTCAGGGTTTTTGTGATGCACCGTTACGCGGTCGTTATGCGAGTGTAAGGTTCGTACGGTTGAGTGTGCACGTTAGGCGGCAGAGTGGGGAGAAAACGGGTGGGTGCATCAGCCAGCAGTCATCTTGGCCGTCAACTCGCAAACACCTGGGTCTGCACCGTGACCTCTTGCCCCAGTGAGCTGTCGGCACTTCACGCGGCCTCGAGGTGCACCTAGCCTGGCGCAAGCTACCTACCGCCTGGTGGCGGACGGCGGTTGTTGTTACGGATGTACGTACTCCTCTGGGGGTTTTTTGTTGTTGTTGTTGTGCGCGCGTTTGTCCAGAAGGCGCCATGACCCCTGAGGAGCAGACGTACCTGCTGGTGCTGCTGGTGTCGCTGCCGGCCGGGTTCGTGCTCAAACATGCGCCGAGTCCGCTCGGCAAGCGCCTCGGCGCCGCCGCGCTGGGGGTGGCCGTCACTCTGGTGCTGTGCGGCGCTCACATCTTGCACTCCCTGCTCACCACGGCACTCACCTGCCTCATCGTGCGCATGACACCCAGGTGAGCGCCCCGCTCTCCAACTTCTCCCCGTTTTCCACCGGCTCTGCGTCTCGGCACGAAGCGCGCGTCCGAGGGGATGCCAGCGACGACCGGGTTCAGGTTCAGTCAAGCGAGCGGTGATCATTTGCGGAACAAATCGGACGCAATGGGCCGATGACGGGGACGGAATTATAGAACTAGTGGAGAAATGTTGTCCCCCGGTCTCTATAGAAACGTGCATCTTAGTAAGTGGATAATTTTGATTTAAAGCTTTCGTCACTTGCAGGGATTCATATTCTTGGTTCTTTCGGTAAAGTCAAGTAGAAGGGAAACAATAAAATAATAAAAATAAAACAATACCGATTTTTTTTTAAAACGCCACTTTTTTCAAATTTTCTTGCTGTGGTTTTCACACCTGATGATGATTGCTTGTGTTGCAGTCGATACGTCGTGATAATTTTATTGTTTTATATTTTTATTATTTTATTGTTTCCCTTCTACGTGACTTTACTGAAAGAACCAAGAATAAGTTAATTTTTCAGCTGAAGAGAGGATCTACCATGTGAAGCTTCATTATTGTCATTCATTTAACCAGGAAAGCCTCACTGAGTCTCCAGACTCATTAGAGGAGCATCCTGCTACATTGCGATGTTGAAATTTAGGGTGCCCTGAGAAAACTCTTGCATTGCTAAAGGTGACAACTCAGCACTGCCTTCCCATGGCCACCTTGCAGCCTCATTGCTCTAACAGCCATGCCCTGGTCACCCATCTGAGAATTAACGAGCCTGAGCACCGCTTAGCTCCTGAGATCCGATGAGATCAGGCGCATTCAAGTTGATTTGGTTGTAGGCGCCAAGTGTTTGTCGAAAAAGGGATGATGGTCTATGCCGCTGCATCTGTCACAGGTACTGTCACACCATTACCCTGGCCTGGACCTTCACTTATCTCATGTTTTTCCGGACATGCCACCACTTCGGCTTCCCGGGACCTCCACCGTACGCTAATGCAATACAGTTACTGCTCACCCTCAAGGTAAGGCTGCTCTAATGGCATGCGGTTTATAAAGTGCTATGTTGTCCTGTGCAGTGCTTCATTGTGCCCATGTGGGTTTGTCTGAAAGTGCATTCCCGGAGCCGATGCCATTTAATCCATCAGCTGGAATGACTGTTCACACTCAGGGGCGGAGCCAGGATTTTGACTTCAGTATTCTGAGATATCCAGTGTTTATGTTTTCCAATGGGCGCCACAAATGTATAAAACAAATTTTATTGGATTTGAAGGCGGAGTTTATTAATAGGTCGGAGCCGCTGATGTGGCTAATAAGTTCGATAAATTCTAAAGGCTGCCGCTCAAGCAGCCTGCAGGGCAGCACAAGGTGGCAGCCTGCAGCATTTTGCAACAGCCGGATATCCGGTTATCCGGATTACCGAATTTCCCAAAATTTCAGGGGGGCTAAGCCCCCCCAAGCCCCCCCTGTAGCTCCGCCCCTGTTCACACTGAACACGGTGTAATGAGTTATCACGATTGTTTGAGGGCCATCATTCGATTCTAGAAATACAATTTTATTTGTCAAATTGTTTTATATCAGTTGCATGTTTAAGTTTCCTTCTGTGTGTCTTGTGTAGTTTTGTTCACTTATAGATGCGTCGTCACACATCCAGCCCCCAACCAATGCCGGTGCGCTGTTGCCTTCCTGAATGCAGTTGTGTTTCTTTTTATTATTACGTTTGATTACCCAGAAAGCCTTACTGAGTCTCAAGACTCTTTTTTCAGTAGGGTCCTGCTAACTTTTCACATTAGAGCCACAGTTGCTATGTGATTCCCAGTTCAGTCATTTGCGAGTTTTTTTTTTTGGGGCCATGTCAGAACACAATGGCCTACTCTTCTTCGAATGACGTCACGGAATCTTTCAACGTCCACTGAAGTGGGCAGCAATTCACTGTGGACTTTAGCCTTCGTCTACAGGTTCACTTATATTGTGGCTGATACATTGATGGCAGCTCCACCTGTGTTATGGGTGCTACATTGACACATTTTGCGATCAGCATGTTTTGTCGCTTTTTTTTTTACAGATGGTAAGTCTGGCCAATGAAATCAATGAGTTCCATTTTGGTACGAAGAAAGGGGACTCTAAAGAAGGCAAAATTTCGACCAGAGACCTTGAGTCCGAGCCCAGCCTTGTGGAGACCTTCTGCTATGCCTACTGCTACATCGGCTTCATGACGGGTAACGGCGCCGCCCGCGTCCGCGCGGGGCCACGGCGAGCGGGCACTCGCTTGGATGTCCCAGCGTGCACCGTCCAGCACGGCGATTATTGTGCAGAGTGGGGTGCTGTAGTGCAGTGTGATATTGTCCTTCTGGAACATGTCATTTATTTTAATGTTTGGTTTATCTCTGGTATGATTAATACATAGTAATACAAACTAGTCTCTCGTTTTGTTAAAAATCTAATTAAGACGAAAACAATCAATGATTTAACTCGGAATTTAGGCTTAATAAGGCTTCACCCAGTGCATGCTATGATGACCATGATGAGGCAAACAACATATTGTGCTGGCATTGAGAAGGTGACACAATGGACGTGTAGGAATCTCCTGTGCTGGCGAATGTGCAGTCGTTGCACACACACCGTCTCTCATACATTGCAGACAGCAGCTTGATGATGGGTGATGACAGCAACCAGGTGGTTGATGCAGCTGGTGACTTGCCGGGCGTGGTCGGGTCTTGACGACGTGTAGAACGATGATTTCGTCCTCCTTTGTTGAACTTCCGACGTAAAAAGACGTGTCTTCACCGTGATAATTAACCATGGACTTGTTGGTTTACAGTCACTTTTTCTTAGCTTATGTCATCCAGGGCAGATAACCTTGTAGCACAGTTCGGATCAATGTTAACTTCTCTCTAAAGTAATGCCTTTCCTTCTCCAGTCGGCAAATTTGTCTTCTCTCCTTCAAAATGTATTCTGCAGCCCTCACTTTGAGTCTTTTTAATCTTGCTTGCTGTATGTATTGGCTCGATATCATTCCACAACTTCAAATCTTAAAATGTGCTTTTAACTTCTCAACTGCTTTACCACTATAGCTTCTCCACTGCTCTACCACTATACCTTCTTCCCTGCTTTACCACTATCCCTCTGAGTGGTTGCTCGGCTTCTCAGCCGTTCTCGTCGTGGGGTAGCGCTCTCATGTAGGTTCTGTAGTGCGATGCACTGTGGTGTGGTACGCCCCATAGTGTGGTGCGCTGTGGTGCGGATCACTTGGGCTGTCGTGCAATGTGAATCCCAGGAGCCCTGCAGGGCCCTAACGGCTGCACTCCTACTTTGTTGCTCCAGGTCCCTTCTACCGGTTTCGCACGTACCACGACTGGGTGCAGGAGCAGCAAGGAGCGCATGTGCCCAGCTGGAAGCCCATGCTGCTGCGGCTGAAGCACGTGCCCATGCTCGGGGCGTTCTTCCTGCTTGCCTCGGCCTTCTTCAACCTGGACGAGGCACGGCAGGACGACTTCTACGAGCGCGGCCTCCCTTACCGCCTATTCTTCATGGTGCCGATGTTTTTTATTTTCCGCATGCGGTTCTACGTGGCCTGGATCCTGGCGGAGTGCACCTGCATGGCCGCGGGGCTCGGGGCCTACCCGCGCGAGGCCAAGGCACGCTCGGGAGGGGGCCCCACAATGCAGTGGGCTCTCAAGTCCAGGTGACGGTGCGCATCGATCGAGACCCAGTGGGATCTAGTAGTCGGGGAATGGGGAACGTGGAGCCTGTGAGCACCGGGGGAAGGTGGCGGGGCAGAAGAAGCAGGGGACAGTCTGAATTCAGACCAGTGCTTTACTGTTTGGTGCTTTGAACGTGGGAAAAGCGCTATATAAATAAAATGCATTATTATTAGTCCACTTGTCGCTGCCACCTGCGGTGGCACAACTTTAGTCGACGAAATTTCATTGTGGCCAATAACAGTGAATTATGTGATAACCACTTAATTGAGTGGTTCTCAAATAATTCACTCTTACAGGCCATATAAATAAATCGGTACGACTCACGCTTTGCGATTGTAGGTGGTACAGAATTCTGCTCTGGCCCGTGGACTCAAGATCAGATGCTGTAGCCAATGGGTGATCTGTGGCTCATGAGTACGATCTTAAGGACTCCTCACCCCCTTGAGAATCGATCATTTTTCACGAAGCAGTCACGAGAATTCCCTTCCCAATTCTCTCATTTGTACAACTGGTTTGTACTTCCTGTCGCATACATCCAGTGTTGTTCATTCCATCTTGTCATTCTATTAGGCTCAACACATTTGCACGCCATTTTCATACATTGTAATCATCGCGGGATTGATAAAATAGGTATCACTTTATATTCTTTGGGTCTTTCGGTAAAGTCACGTAGATAGGTTCAAAGAAAATAACAAACTACAAAGTTTCGATCGCAACGCAAGCGGTCGTCATTTTTTTTCCTCCTGATGACGACCGCTTGCGTTGCGATCAAAATGTCGTAGTTTTTTGTCATTTTTTTGTTATTTTCTTTGAACCTATCCACGTGACTTTACCGAAAGACCCAAAGAATATGAATTCCTGCAGTCACGAAAGCTTTAAGTCGTATCACTTTGTAGGAAAGTCAGCAGTGGTTGCCCAATGTATAGACTCACTCCTGCTATAGGAATGTGGAATTTCCACCACTGGCTCAGGGCTGTATACAGGAGAAGGTGCTCCTTTGATGTTCCTTTGATGCACCTTTGAACAGCAGGAATCACTAACTTTTTGGCCTATCTCCTCAGTGATGAGCAGGAGAGCCGCACCGTGGAATACGACTACGAGAGCATCAAGAACATCGATTACTACAGCACGGACTTCTGCGTGCGCGTGAAGGACGGAATGCGCTACTGGAACATGACGGTGCAGTGGTGGCTGGCTCAGTACATCTACAAGAAGGCCCCGTTCAAATCGTACATCCTACGGTGCGTGTCCGGCACGCGCGTCCTTCGCTTTACATCAAAAATGCCGAAAGGCAGTCCGTCGCAGGCGCCGAGGGAGGCAGTGAGATTAGTGGCAGCGGGGTGGGCCGCGAGGGAGGAGTCGCGCGGCGCCCATTGCGGTGTCGTTGTCTGCGTTGTGTAGCCCGCGGCGCCGGCGACGTGGCATCGCACTGGCGTGGTCGGCAATGCAGAACAACGCCGGGAAAACCGGGTTTTAGTGTACTTGTCGTTGAGAGTGCAATACGCCCTCTGTATCCATATGGCAGCGTGGGAAATTGTGAATGAAAAGGCTGGCTTCGCCTGCCTTTATGGAGGTAAATTACACTCAACCGAGTTTGTTTCACACATCTTTGTGTTCATCTTATTAACGTGTCCCCCACTACCTTCTGCCGTTTTAATGATTGTCGTCATTACTGGGCAGCGTCACTTTGTATCGCGTCGAAAATGAAATATCTCAAGATGCAATGGCTGAGACGCGACCCGTCATGGGCTGCTACGGCAGCACATGACGGGTCACGGGGTTCGGTAACGTGCGTCTGCGTTGATGAACAAAAGCGTCGCAGTTGTGGTCTGGAACGTGGGCTGAGGTTCAACGCAGCTAAGTTACGCGTCGCTAATGCCACGTGGCTTCGCCTGTGCCCGCGTGCAGGAGCGCGGTTACGATGCTGATCAGCGCGTTCTGGCACGGGATCCACCCCGGCTACTACCTGAGCTTCCTCACCATCCCGCTGTGCCTGGCGGCCGAGACGGCCATGGAGCGCGCGGTGCGGGACCGCCTGGCCCCCGCGCGCACGCCACTCTTCGACTGGGTTCACTGGTTCCTGAAGATGCGCGCGTTCGATTACATGTGCATGGGCTTCATCCTGCTGAGCTACGAGGAGACCGTTCGCTACTGGCGCTCCGTCTACTTCGTGATGCACGTGCTGGCGCTCGGGTTCGCGCTGCTCGGCCACGCGCTCTGCCTGCTCCCGCGGACAGTGCGACGCGTGGCGGTGGCCACCACAGAGTGACCGTTACACAGTGGTCATAACACGGTGACCATGACATAGTGACCACGACATAGTGACCACGACACAGTGACCACCACATAGTGACCACCACATAGTGACCACGACATAGTGACCACGACACAGTGACCACCACATAGTGACCACCACATAGTGACCACCACATAGTGACCACGACATAGTGACCACGACATAGTGACCACCACATAGTGACCACCACATAGTGACCACCACATAGTGACCACCACATAGTGACCACCACACAGTGACCACCACATAGTGACCACGACACAGTGACCACCACATAGTGACCACGACACAGTGACCACGACACAGTGACCACCACACAGTGACCACCACACAGTGACCACCACATAGTGACCACGACATAGTGACCACCACATAGTGACCACCACATAGTGACCACCACACAGTGACCACCACACATTGCCTGCCACAAAGCGATCATACAGTGACTACCACAGTGACCACCGCAGTGACCACATAGTGATAACCCGACCCAACACACAATTACCATACAGTGATACCCCTACTCAACTACACAACAAACACACAGTTATACCCCTACCCAACACACAATTACCACACAGTTATACCCCTACCCAACACACACCACACAGTAATACCCCTACCCAACACACAATTACCACACAGTAATACCCCTACCCAACACACAATTACCACACAGTAATACCCCTACCCAACCACACAATAACCACACAGTAATACCCCTACCCAACACACAATTACCACACAGTAATACCCCTACCCAACCACACAATAACCACACAGTAATACCCCTACCCAACACACAATTACCACACAGTAATACCCCTACCCAACCACACAATAACCACACAGTAATACCCCTACCCAACACACAATTACCACACAGTAATACCCCTACCCAACCACACAATAACCACACAGTAATACCCCTACCCAACACACAATTACCACACAGTAATAACCCTACCCAACACACACCACACAGTAATACCCCTACCCAACACACAATTACCACACAGTAATAACCCTACCCAACACACACCACACAGTAATACCCCTACCCAACACACACCACACAGTAATACCCCTACCCAACACACACTTACCACACAGTGATACCCCTACCCAACACAATAACCACACAGTGATACCCCTACCCAACACACACCACACAGTAATACCCCTACCCAACACACACTTACCACACAGTGATACCCCTACCCAACACACACTTACCACACAGTGATACCCCTACCCAACCACACAATAACCACACAGTGATACCCCTACCCAACCACACAACGACTTGTGCGAGCAGGACCCGCACACGCCTCTACTTGTCCCGGGGACCACCATGCAAGCTGTTACTCCACTCGGTGCTGATGGTATCAGTATGGACTGTGCTGCCAGTGTCGGTGTTGTCAGTGTTGGTGCTGTCAGTGTCGGTGCTGTCAGTGTCGGTGCTGTCAGTGTCGGTGCTGACGGTGTCGGTGCTGTCAGTGTCGGTGCTGACGGTGTCGGTGCTGACGGTGTCGGTGCTGTCAGTGTCGGTGCTGTCAGTGTCGGTGCTGCCAGTGTCGGTGCTGCCAGTGTCGGTGCTGTCGGTGCTGCCAGTGTCGGTGCTGTCAGCGTCGGTGCTGACGGTGTGGGCGGTGTCGGTGTGGATGGTGTCGGTGCTGTCAGTGTTGGTGCTGATGGTGCGATCCGTGTCGTTGCCGCCGACCGTGGTGATGTCTTCCTGGGAGCCACGGTGGTAATTTGGTCCGGTCGGAATCCCTAGAGCGACGGCGCCTACCCCTGGGTGCTTAGCCGCCCTGTAATTAAAATTTTAATGCCGAGCGTGTGGAGTGAGGAGGGCAGACCATTATTTGTCCCTCGGAAACCAAATTAGGGAATATTGTACCTGAAAGTGTGTTAATATCACCTGTTTTATGTCATGGAATTGTCATTTTCCTAATAAATAAAAATAGGAGTGTGGTCCCCTTGCGTGGTGACGGGAGGCTGGCCGGGGCGGTGGCAGCGAAAGCGATTCTCAAATCGGCGGAAAACAGGAGCACACGACGTCCATCTGTGCATGCGACTACAGCTCGTGTTTAAGTGGGGAATGTGAGGGGGCGTGAGCACGAAGAGCTGTGAATGATTAAGGCGATGGCATGGTGTGTGTTTATGATATAGGGTGACAGTATGTTGTGTGTGTGTGTATGATCTGGAGTAACGGCATGGTGTGTGTATGATATTGGGTGATGGCATGTTGTGTGTGTATGATATGGGGTGTGTATACGATATGGAGTGAGGGTATGGAGTGTGTATGATATCGGGTAACAATATGGTGTGTGTATGATATGGGGTGATGGAATTGTGTGTGTGTAATACCCAGAGAGATGACCTGCCCACGCGTCTCGTCACCACGCCGTTCGGACTTAATGTATATCTGTGTGGTTTGTTTCCGCATTGTCCCCTGCACAAGACATTTCTCCTGCACGGTATGCATGCCGCAGTCCGCCCACCCCCCACCCTTAGGCTCTGCCTGATCTGTGCCCAGGTGCAGTAAGCCATTATGGCTGTACTGCGAGGATGGGGAGGGGGGCGGGGGGCGGGGGGTGGGGAGGGGGGCGGGGGGTGGGGAGGGGGGGTGGACCGTGGGGAGGGGGGGTGGACCGTGGGGAGGGGGGGTGGGGAGGGGGGCGGACCGTGGGGAGGGGGGGTGGGGAGGGGGGCGGACCGTGGGGAGGGGGGGGTGGGGAGGGGGGCGGACCGTGGGGAGGGGGGGTGGACCGTGGGGAGGGGGGGTGGGGAGGGGGGCGGACCGTGGGGAGGGGGGGTGGGGAGGGGGGCGGACCGTGGGGAGGGGGGGTGGGGAGGGGGGCGGACCGTGGGGAGGGGGGGTGGGGAGGGGGGCGGACCGTGGGGAGGGGGGGTGGGGAGGGGGGGTGGACCGTGGGGAGGGGGGGTGGACCGTGGGGAGGGGGGGTGGGGAGGGGGGCGGACCGTGGGGAGGGGGGGTGGGGAGGGGGGCGGACCGTGGGGAGGGGGGGTGGGGAGGGGGGCGGACCGTGGGGAGGGGGGGCGGACCGTGGGGAGGGGGGGTGGGGAGGGGGGCGGACCGTGGGGAGGGGGGGTGGGGAGGGGGGCGGACCGTGGGGAGGGGGGGTGGGGAGGGGGGCGGACCGTGGGGAGGGGGGGTGGGGAGGGGGGCGGACCGTGGGGAGGGGGGGTGGGGAGGGGGGCGGACCGTGGGGAGGGGGGGTGGGGAGGGGGGCGGACCGTGGGGAGGGGGGGTGGGGAGGGGGGCGGACCGTGGGGAGGGGGGTGGGGAGGGGGGCGGACCGTGGGGAGGGGGGGTGGGGAGGGGGGCGGACCGTGGGGAGGGGGGGTGGGGAGGGGGGCGGACCGTGGGGAGGGGGGGTGGGGAGGGGGGCGGACCGTGGGGAGGGGGGGTGGGGAGGGGGGCGGACCGTGGGGAGGGGGGGTGGGGAGGGGGGCGGACCGTGGGGAGGGGGGGTGGGGAGGGGGGCGGACCGTGGGGAGGGGGGGTGGGGAGGGGGGCGGACCGTGGGGAGGGGGTGGGGGAGGGGGCGGACCGTGGGGAGGGGGGGTGGGGAGGGGGGCGGACCGTGGGGAGGGGGGGTGGGGAGGGGGGCGGACCGTGGGGAGGGGGGGTGGGGAGGGGGGCGGACCGTGGGGAGGGGGGGTGGGGAGGGGGGCGGACCGTGGGGAGGGGGGGTGGGGAGGGGGGCGGACCGTGGGGAGGGGGGGTGGGGAGGGGGGCGGACCGTGGGGAGGGGGGGTGGGGAGGGGGGCGGACCGTGGGGAGGGGGGGTGGGGAGGGGGGCGGACCGTGGGGAGGGGGGGTGGGGAGGGGGGCGGACCGTGGGGAGGGGGGGTGGGGAGGGGGGCGGACCGTGGGGAGGGGGGGTGGGGAGGGGGGCGGACCGTGGGGAGGGGGGGTGGGGAGGGGGGCGGACCGTGGGGAGGGGGGGTGGGGAGGGGGGCGGACCGTGGGGAGGGGGGGTGGGGAGGGGGGCGGACCGTGGGGAGGGGGGGTGGGGAGGGGGGCGGACCGTGGGGAGGGGGGGTGGGGAGGGGGGGTGGGGAGGGGGGCGGACCGTGGGGAGGGGGGGTGGGGAGGGGGGCGGACCGTGGGGAGGGGGGGTGGGGAGGGGGGCGGACCGCGGGGAGGGGGAGCCGCACCTGCTAAGGTCACCGTGACGTCACCAGGTGACTGCAGCGATGGAGGGAGCCTATGGAGCCTATGGTGCCGGGCCTGCGGGGAGCAACTTTGATGTGGTCGCTTTTGTGAAACGTCCCACGACGATTCTGAGCATCTGCAGCACGGTGAGTGAGGACTCGGGTGAGTAAGGACTCGGGTGAGTGGGTGTTGGAGGAGCAGAGTGATGTTGGTGTTGATCAGGCCGGGCGAGTGAGTTGGTGAGGGCTGGGGTTGGTGGGTGTTGCTGAGGCAGAGTTGGTGAGGCCAAGTGAGTTTTAGTGTTGGTGGACGAGGCCTTAGCATTTCGGACGCAGCGAATGCGTTCTGGCATGGACTCCAATAAGACAACTCGACACGTTCCGTGTCAATCACACGGCGGTCTAAAAGGAAAAGCCTCTGTACAATTGGCGACGGTTCGAACAATGGGCTCTTCGTGGCACTTTAAATAGTGAGGCCACAGATATATTGAAACTTCACACCAGGCCTCGTGGTGTAAACTGCAGTCAGGCTGGGTGAGTGAGTTGGTGAAGGCTTTGGTGAGTGTTGTTGTTGAGTGCTGACGATGCAAGTGGGTGTGGTTAGGCTCCAACTCTTATTCTCACGGCCTATGTACAATTCAAAAGGTACCGCTGCCCTGAAGCGTCGCCGATGATATGTATATGTTTTTTTATTTTCATGGCCAGGGTGCGTCCTGAACGAACGTGCCACGAGTGCTGGTGAAGCAACCACTGCCAAACGCGACGGGCGATTTTTTTTTAAAATCATAATAACAACAACAACCCACCACCACCATGATGAAGTCGCTGTGCATTCGACTCCGCGTGAACGGATTCCACCCGTTGCTAATATTCAACGCGGCCCACCACGACGCTGCGGGAGCTGGTCAGTTGGGATAAATGGAAACTTGTCCCGAAATCAAAATAAAGCACGTGGCGTACACTGAAATTACCCTGCTACAGAGGGGGAAGTGCAGCAGTCTTAGGTACAAACTGGTCCCTCTCATACTTGATTTGAAGCTTTCGTGACTGCAGGAATCCATACTCTTTGGTTCTTTCGGTAATGTCACGTAGGTAGAAAAAAAAAATACGTGACTTTACCGAAAGAACCAAACAGTATGGTCCCTCAACCATAGCCATAACCATAAACGCAAAGCCTACACCTTAACCTATATACCCAAACCATAAGCCCTAACCCATGAACTCAGATCCCTCAACATATACGCTGAACCAAAGTGAATTGTATTTTTTTTCACATTGTGTCCAAAAAGATGCGGTCTTTTATCATCGTACAGCCATCAAAAATATTCTCCCTCTTCTAGTCATTTCTCATCGAATTTCATTTGCGATATTTCCTCAAGTGTGGTGGCTTGGAAAGTTTCAGAGCCCGTGGCTTTACCCCAACCCTTTGTGATCGTCAACCCTTATTGCCTCTTCACTTACTGTAAACCACGTTATTAAGTCCATCCCGGACACTGTAGCTACCCTGTAATGTGACGGAACGTCGTATCCATTGCGCTCCGTAATGTTTCAAGTTTTATTTCGTGTAATCAGGTGAGAGGGAACTCGAGAGAGCAGGAGGAGTTTCATTTAGAAGTATGGTCTGGGTCCGATAAATTAAAAACCCAACAACATAAGATCAAGGCCAACGGTGAAGCAAATAGAAATCAAAGAAAACAACTGCCTTACAAGATAAATACAAAACAGTGCACAAACATAAATCAACATTAAATAAAATACATTTCCTGAAACAAAAGTTGGTTCAGGCAAATTACTTTTAAAATCAGAGTAAAATAAAACTTAATTTGCAGAAACATGAAAATATATTGAGGGTCGTTATTGCACAGGAGCCATTCATTCCGTGTGCGAACGCGGCCCTTACAGCCCCTTGTGTGCCCTGCAGGTGTTTGCCATCGTGGTGTTTGGCTGCATCGTGGGCGAGGGCCACATCAACCACTCTCAGAGCTCCACGCTGCACTGCGTCTACAACGACAATGAGCACGCGTGCGGCCTGGCCACCGCCACGGCCATCCTCTCGGCCGTCTCGGCTCTCGCCTTCCTCGTGCTCGACGTGCGTTTCACCGACATCAGCAGCGTGCAGCACCGCAAGGCCGCGGTGCTAGGAGAGCTGGGCCTCTCTGGTGAGAGCCAGGCTGACAAGTCAGGGTTTAAATTTTGATTTAAAGCTTTCGTGACTGCAGTAATTAATATTCTTAGTTCTTTCGGTAAAGTCACGTTGAAGGGAAACAATAAAATAATAAAATATATATAAAACAATAAAAATTATCACGACGTTTCAACCATAACACAAACGGTCGTCATCAGGTGTGTCGGTTTTCATAAATGTATTTATTTTAAAACGGTGTATTTATTTATTTATAAAAAACGTCAGCGCCACGCGCAGCGATTTGGCAGTTTATTTAGAAGGACGAGTCCATCTATGTTCTGAAAAGAGGAGGGGGGAGACGAAAATTTTTATGTATGCTGTCTTGAGAATTTTTATTGTTTCATATATATTTTATTATTTTATTGTTTCCCTTCAACGTGACTTTACCGAAAGAACTAAGAATAAGTCAGGGTTTGCCAACGTGTCCGGGTTTGAGCCACGAATTGGCATCTGCGTCTGGTCTTCGTCGTTCGTACGGCTGATGTAGATGCTGGAGCAACAACTGCAATTTCACATTCAGGTGGTCAAACCAGATAACCACGTCAGGAGCAGTGGAGTGTATCGCTTTGATGTCTCCTTCGTATTTGTGGATCGGGCATTGCGTGTGTCTGGTGGCAGGAATGAACATTCCCGGATGCACTGTCTGGGTTTACATAATACTGGAGTTTTGCCGATTGAAACATTTCTGGGTTTGGTCCCCTTCAACCCGAGCATCTGAGGCTCGGGGAGGCCGAGGGGGTTGCACTTGGCAATGCCACACTTCTCAGTGATTTTAAAGGTGAATAAAGTAGCATTATCCTTCTCCAAAGGCTGGAGCTGAGGTGTAGCACACTCGGCAGTATGGGAGTCATGAATAACCACTTGTCAAATCATATTTGGGAACCGCGAGATTAGGGCCTCATTCACACTTAGTCTGCCAAGCGGCACCGCCTGTGTCTGCCTGCTCCTATGGGTTCTAGATTATTTGCACGCCCTTGCGCCGAGTGCTACGACAGCTGTGCCGTGTAATCCATGCTGCAGGGCTCTGGGCATTCTTGTGGTTCGTCTGCTTCTGTTTCCTGACGAACCAATGGAGCAAGACCGCCTTCGCATCCTGGATGGACATTGTGGGGGGGAGCGCTCGTGCTGCCATTGCCTTCTCCTTCTTCTCCATCCCTACCTGGGTAATGGCAACCCCACTCCACCTGCCTCGTGCACCAACCACACGCATGGGGTGGTTTAGTTTGTCCTTCGCCCAGACATCCGATTAGCACAGTTGGCTATGTGTGGTGCGAAAGAAGTTCATACATACACAGAGCAGCCTGCTATGTTCCCATGATGCATAAAATTAGGCCAGCCTGTTCACCAGCCTGTGGGCTCAACCCGGATTCTAGCCCAGCCGTGTGGCCTGCTTTCAATGGGTTGCGTGCTTGTAGCCAGGCTGCTGGAAAAATTACAAGTAGATTTTGGCTTGAAAAAGCATAGCCCAACCCAATCATGTACTTGATTGTGTCCAGGTCGGGCTCACGATCTTCATCTTCCAGAAATACCGCTTGGGCGCCCACTTTGGAGAAGAGTACACGGACCCCAGCCCCGCCGCTGCACAACTCCCGGACTCGGAGTCATACCAGGCGCCGCCCTTCCCGCATGACCTGGGCCGCTCTGGCACGTCGCAGTAGGGCCCCCAGCGAATCCCATGAACCCTGTACCCTCTCCCTCATCGCACGGTTTCTTAATCAGGTCATGAGCTCACAACGCTTCTCATTTTACCATTAAGAGCTGACATTTTTTTTGCGAGTCCCTATTAACTTGGTATTGGCTTTCATTGTACATTTTACTAATAGGGGGAGGGGATGGGTGGCTGAATGGGGGTGTGCATGCACGTCCACTGGGACCAATCGCCACGGGAAAAAGATTCCCACAGCTGATCTGCAAGTCCTATGGGGATTACCCGAGCAAAGTGGACTTACAAAGCTGAGAGACATAAGACACGAGGCAGATATTTACAGTGGAAAACCCGGTTACAAAGTGAGCGTTGGTATGCTCTCTACAGGTTAAGGTTTATCCGTGGGCTGTCACCAGTTTGAAGGTCAGCTCAGGTTATTATTGATAAGGATTGACAGTCTCCCTTTTCACAATTCGGAGGTGATCATTCGATTTCATTAGGTTTGGGAATTAACTTTACTTTCTAGCTGCTCCTCACTTGTGCATAGAGGCCAACCTTGCCATATACTTGATATTACATTGAAATTTGTTTGAATTTACCCATGCTGTACAGTACTGTTATTCCTAAAAGGGACTACCTCTTTGGGGAAACTCTTCAGGGCATAATTAGAACCTTGTGCAATTTAAGGACGAGTTTGTAATGCGGACGCCGGCAGAGTGAATGCGATGTTATGGCTACCCAGGCTCGGTACTGACCCAATGTTCCTGCCGACTTCTCAACAGTTAATATTTCATTTAACGTTTGTTTTATCAGGTGCCAAGACTTGTAATTAAAGTTACTGAATGCGCCAGTCAGGTTTATTTCAACCTTTCGACTGCTTGAGATGCTTGTGGAATGTTGATGAATGACAGCGGAGACGTGATGCAACACTTTAAACAGGTTTATCAAAGTGCACCCCCAACAACCGCGATACCAACCCACTTAAGTGCACCACTTTAATTCAAAACCACACGTCAATGATGATTCTGGATAAGCGCTAAATCATGGACCAGCCATCAGCTACTCAACTTATCAACCACGGCTGTGTTACTCAGTTCCAAAGAGCACTCCAACCTGCTCTGAATTGCTCATCACCATTTTGGTCCTGGTCTGCCTTCAGCAATTTTCCGAAGGATGCACACTCATCTATAATTTACAGATCATTGTCAATCCAAAGCTGGATAAAGGCCTCCCCACGCTGTGGTGGTGGAGTGGATGTTTGACCATACTTGGCCACGCTGGTCAATGCGGGTTGATGATTAGGCCACAGGACCAGTTCACATATCACTCTCCACTGATATCCATGGCTGGGAATCAATCTCAGATTATAACTGTTCATTTTCAAGTCGTAGAAAAATCCCAATTGACACAAATAATAACGTTCTCTTAATAGCTAACATCCAATGTCATCAGTCCCCTCGACAACAAAATATAAAAGTGTCGTGTTTTTTTTTTTACAGTTGCTGGCCAGCCATCACAGTAGGTTGTGTAGTGGCAGACACTGCGGATGCTCCTTGTACTGTCCCTGTGCCTCGAGGACACCATCTGGCGCACACACCCAAGGGTCGTAAGTGGCCCACTGCCAGGCCCGCAGCTGCTGCTGCAGGGTGCGCAGTGTGTCCGCGTAGGCCGCGTCATGTGCCAGGTTGCAAGTCTCAGCCGGGTCGGCGCGCGTGTCGTAGAGCTCCCAGCGCTCGCGGTAGTAGAACTCCCGTAGGCTCTTGTACCAGTGAGTAGGCTGGCCCTGCATGCTGCGATTGAGCAGGTCTTGGAAGGTGGGGGACACGTACAGATCCTGGTCCACAGGGAAAGGCATGAGGAAGTGCATGTTGTGGATCAGGTGGAGGTGGCTGTGGCGCAGGGCGCGCATGGGGTAGTACATCGTGACCTCGTGGTGGCTCTGGCTGGAAAAGGCAATGTCCCACGGTGGTTCTTGTTTGAGAGCTGGAAGCAGCGAGCGTCCCGTCAGCACTACGGGCTCATCCTTCTTGAACATGGCGTAGTCGGGATAAGGCACCGAGAACCACTCCAGCATCGTCGGTGTAATGTCTGCAAGGGTTTGGAGACACATTCTCATTAAGAGCATTAACAGGGCCACAAAAATGTGGAATGGCACTGACATCGTGATCTGTAACACACCGGTAAACCAAGTTGCTAAGCACCAATTTCAGTGCCATTGATGTTTCCTGTACACGTTTTAATTTGTAATCTACTCAAATAAGAGGTACGGAGAATAGATAAGAGGAACACAAATGTATACGTCCGTTCATGATTCATTTTTCTCTGCGGAAACTCAGTCTGAGTCGCAACTTCCCCTCTGAGCCCCGCCGCGGTTCCTCGCCCCCAAGCACTGTCGCGTTCGAACGCACGGCACACATGGCGATTTCCTTCACAAATGGATAGTCGCCCAATTGCGAATGTGTTCATCAACCAGCTCCTGATACCATCGACAGACATTACGTTTTGTCCGTTACTATTCAAATGCCATGCGCGAGAAAAAGCACCGTCTTGTGCGTACCCAGCAGGCTCACGTAGGCCTCGCTGCTGTGGCCCCAGCGCTCGCGGTCCTCCGGGGAGGACACGAGCAGAGGCTCGGCCACGCCGCTCGTGTACAGGTTGGTGCGGCCGCCGGGGAAAGGGATCCCATTGTCAGAGCTGTAGATCACGAGCGTGTCGTCCGCGTAGCCGGCGCTCCGCAGCTCCTCCAGCACCAGCCCCACGCCTGCAGCAAGGACAGCATCGGGGTCGTCTTTCGCGTAGGAACATCTGCTCAAGGGCAAGCGGTCTACTGCACAAGCTGCCACCTTATTCAGTGATTTCCTGCTCAAATGAGCAGAGGAGGTGCTCATACACTGTTTGGAGCCCTGAGCCAGTGGTGTAAATTCTGCATTGCTATTGTGGCGGCGAGTCTGTACGCAGGACAACCACTGTTGACTTGCCTGAAAATGGCACTCGTATTGACCCCGGAGGTATGATTGGCAACCCCAACCAGGATTTAAACTTGCAATCTTCCCATTGCGAGCTGCTTGCTATACTGCTGAGCTACCCGGCCATGTATTTACTGTGGATATGATACACACTAAAATGTGGTTTAAAACATTTTCTCGTCATCTTCACTGCCTCCCTACCGCTATCTTTTTTTTTTGCTGACATTTGTTTTTTTTCCTCCTTCCATTGCTTGGCCTAACCCTCACACCATCTCCTGAGCCTTGCCTGATCTCTCCTCCACATCCTTGTTCCTCCCATCTCGCCCGGGCCTCGTCTAGGATTCATTAATGCTGCCCCTGGAACTCGTTGGTGAATTGATTGCGAGTCCTCCAGGGTTTGCCTTGGGGCTCGCTTGTTCTTGCCCCTGTTTGCTGCTGTTTTTTCCTTCATCCCAAACTGTGCTGTGCATTGCCTGCTCTCTCCCATGTTTCCCTATCCTATGTCTGTAGAACTTATTTCGCACTGTATGTAGAACATGTTGAGATACGGCTTGCAGTTAGATGCTATATATGTGTCATTTGTTCAGTAGGAGTTTTATCTTGCATTGCGTGCTAGGTTGACATCACCATTGGTTACATTCTGCACAACCTTGTAATGGAAGCAGCTCAAAAAGCCAGGATTATGGCATTCCTTGTTTTGCTGTTTAAGACACCTTTTGCGTATGTATTATTGTTTGCTTCCATCCTGTACACATTGTTGAGGCTGTTGAATTGGCTCTTCAGCTACATAAAATGCTAAATTTTGTCGATGTGTATGCGATGTACACCTAGTTACTTTGACTTTTTATATATTATGCTTGTTTACCCAGGAAAGCCCCACTGAGTCTTAAGACTTTTGAAAGAGGGTCCTGCTAACTTTTCCCAATCGGGATCAATGATTGCTATGTGTTTCCAAATTAAGAAATGTATCAAGTTATTTTTTTTACCTTGAAAAATTTGGACCGCGATGCCAGCACAGGATATTTATAAACACAACTTGTAATGCACACATTTTTCAAATCGGACACATTGTTTGATCAAGAAATTGGAAGCGCGGGAGAGCCAGAGCTCGAAAGCAGTCGCCTACTCTTTGCATTACATCACGGAATCATGACCGTCCACTGGGAAGCAGACGGCGCATATTTTATGGATGATACAACTGCAGTATTAACTAGGGCGGCCTGCAGGAGTCGAACCGAGAACTTTTGCAACAAGCAATAAACGCACCGCCGTTGTGCCACATCACCACCCCTTTAATATCTAATATGTACGAAAGTGAGTACTTTCAAGGATAGAGGATGAATCAACAACGAAGACACCCCGAGGACTGGCTGCTGTTGTGAAGCCCCGAGGCGCGTTAGGACGCGATACCTTGGTCCAAGCGCCCAATGGTCGTGTACTGTGCGGCGAGGTCCGCGCGCGCTGTGGGCGTGTCCGGAACGAAGTAGGGCACCTGAGTGGACAGGGCAACAGCGGGACCTCAATGCACCACCTTCGCCATTCTCACTTTGAAATAAAACATCAACCGGGAATGTTTATCATCTCCAATTTTGTTTCTACATTAACATAAGGCCTGGCCATCTCAGCCATTAACATCCCAGGTTTTTATAAAAAAAAATTAAATGTATTCAGCAAAGCCTCGCTGTGTTTTCAAAAGAATCCTACATTTTGTCAAGTCTGCCAGGCTGATTGTAGCAAAATCCGGCCGTGCTAATCCTCCGGTCGCCTATCAGCCACATAAGGGGCCATCCATTTAGTAGGTACGCAAAAATCTGTCAACACTTGACCCCATCGTATAGAACGGCCGTAATCCACGCACAAACGATCAAGGATTAATCATTAACGTGTCTAACTCATTTGAAGGCCAATGTAAACAAATGATTATCGAGGCTTCACCCCCCCCCCCCTTTCCTATGCATACATACATTGTGAGTAGACCCCCCCCCCCACCATACGTAAGCGTACGCGTTTGGGTTAACCCCTCCTCCATGCGTACGTACTAAATGGATGGCCTCTCATGGCTTGACGCAAGCAAAGACAAGGGCACGCCATGTCAATTCTACCAGTGCACGTAGAGTGGAAGAGCATAAGCCATAACTGTTTCACATTCACTACGCAAGGTTCTCAGGTGAAGTGTTAATAATTGAGTGGGATACCTTCACATCGTCGGGATTATAGTGATGGGGTTTCCAGTCGGGGATTGTCCCCATTCCAGGCGCTCCATTCCCAAATTTCTCACAGAAAGATCCAAATTGGGGCTGGGAATGGCCACAACGGTGTGGATCATGAAACGCCACGTACAGGAAGAACGGCCTAGGATAAGAGACGCATATCCCTGTAAGATGCACGGGTCCATGTGAGATACGAATGTGTGCCGGTGTAAGTGCAAAGGAAGTTGCTGTAGGATTGGGAGGAACAAGGTTGTCAGGTACCTGCCATCGTCCATACGCAGGAAAGCTCTCACTAGCTGTTTGATGTGCGTAATGTTCCGTCCAACCTGGAGGATCGAGTTGTTTTCTTCAGTATATGAGAACTCAAAAGGGTAGACGGCTTCGGGTCCTACGTGTTTCTTCCCGATAATACCTGCGGCATCACACAGTCAAATCAACCTCTTCCATTGGAAGCCTCCACAATCCCAATACTGTACACCTAGAAGATATTGCACCGGGAGTACACAACGCTTCCGAGCACTCATTCCTCGTGGAACAACTAGGAAGGAACAATCATCCATGTGGCTGCAAAAATGATGCACTGTTGCCGACCACTAAATGATCTCTTGCTCAAATTAGCATCGAGGCAAGTGTTCATAAACATCTTTACAGGCCTGAGCGCATTGTGGAATTTTCACATGCACATGACAAGAGCGAGTCTATTCATAAGGCAACCATTTTTTACGTCTCCACAAAGTGGAACCTATTTTATTGACCCGGGAAGGATGATGGGCCGAGTCCACCATTAACCAGGACTTGAGCTCGGAACCTTCTGATTTCGAGCCGCTAGTTGTAACGCTTACATTGAAATTGGTATTGCGGTTGCTATGAGCGCCACACGCATTTCAGGGCAGATCATTCTACAATCTCTCGTACAGTATTCCTATTGAAGAGACCGCTGTTACACAATGGTTGCTCTTCAGCTTTAAAAACTGGCACCAGACTGGTCCAGTCTCCAACTCGCAGCAGGGATTGACGGTGCATTAATTTTCAAGGCATCGCGTTCTCGCCATACAGGGGGACGGCCCTCGCACAACGTTACACCACCACTCACATTGGATTCTGAAAGCACGTCGTACACGCGACTGCAGACACCAGGGAGACGCGTGTCACGACACCGTGGATAAGATTACGAATCAGGTGTCAGGCAAAACAAAAGAGGTAACCGGCGCGTACGGGGAGGGCGACTTATTAACACAGTTGAAAAAAAATTGTGGACAAAGATTTAAACGGGGTTGTGGTTCGCTCTCTCTCTCTCGGTCGAATCAAGAGGCGCGAGGAGGAATAATTCGGCCCACGTGCAGAGCAGAGGAGCCTACAGGTGAGCATGAAGGTATTCTGGACCAGTGGCGTGGAGCAGGTGGGGGCAAGGGGGCTGTCCGCAACCTCTCGCTACGAGGGCGGCAGCAGAGGATTCGCCGCCTCCCGCCGAGGGACGGGTCAATGTTGACAGGAGCAAGCAGCGCCCAAACGGGAGCCGAGCGAGTGACCATTCTCGCAATGGAGCCAGCGAGCTGCAGGAGAAGCAAGGCTGGTCCACAGCTGCTGCCTACATTCACACGAGGAAGGTGTCTTCGCAGCGGGCAGAGCGATGCGATATCGGCAGCGGTCCTTCACCTGTCCGAATGCCCGACTGGTTGAGCAGCAGAGGGAGGCTCCGCACTTGTTCAAATGAATTGAAGTGGTGGACGTCTTGGTGGAGGCCGTACATGCCATTCTGGTGCTGGATACAAAAGACAGCGGCCTTCGTCTCCGGGCAGTCACGACCCCCACACACACACACAGAACGTACACAAGTGGCAGACACACACAGAACGAACACAAGTGGCACACACACACACAGAACGTACACAAGTGGCAGACACACACAGAACGAACACAAGTGGCACACACACACACAGAACGTACACAAGTGGCAGACACACACAGAACGAACACAAGTGGCAGGGACACACACAGAACGAACACACGTGACACACACACACACACAGAACGAACACAAGTGACACGGACACACACACAGAACGTACACAAGTGACACACACACAGAACGTACACAAGTGACAGGGACACACACAGAACGTACACAAGTGACAGACACACACACAGAACGTACACAAGTGACACACACAGAACGAACACAAGTGACACACACAGAACGTACACAAGTGACACACACACAGAACGTACACAAGTGACACACACACACACAGAACCTACACAAGTGACACACACACACAGAACCTACACAAGTGACACACACACAGAACGTACACAAGTGACACACACAGAACCTACACAAGTGACACACACACACAGAACGTACACAAGTGACACACACACACAGAACGTACACAAGTGACACACACACACAGAACCTACACAAGTGACACACACACACAGAACCTACACAAGTGACACACACACAGAACGTACACAAGTGACACACACACAGAACGTACACAAGTGACACACACACAGAACCTACACAAGTGACACACACACACACAGAACCTACACAAGTGACACACACACACAGAACCTACACAAGTGACACACACACAGAACGTACACAAGTGACACACACACACAGAACCTACACAAGTGACACACACACAGAACCTACACAAGTGACACACACACACAGAACCTACACAAGTGACACACACACACAGAACCTACACAAGTGACACACACACAGAACGTACACAAGTGACACACACACAGAACCTACACAAGTGACACACACACACAGAACGTATACAAGTGACACACACACACAGAACGTACACAAGTGACACACACACAGAACGTATACAAGTGACACACACACACAGAACGTATACAAGTGACACACACACAAAACGTATACAAGTGACACACACAGAACCTACACAAGTGACACACACACAGAACGTACACAAGTGACACACATAGAACCTACACAAGTGACACACACACACAGAACGTACACAAGTGACACACACACAGAACCTACACAAGTGACACACACACAGAACCTACACAAGTGACACACACAGAACCTACACAAGTGACACACACACAGAACCTACACAAGTGACACACACAGAACCTACACAAGTGACACACACACAGAACCTACACAAGTGACACACACACAGAACCTACACAAGTGACACACACACACAGAACGTACACAAGTGACACACACAGAACCTACACAAGTGACAGACACACAGAACCTACACAAGTGACAGACACACACACAGAACGTACACAAGTGACACACACACACAGAACCTACACAAGTGACACACACACACAGAACGTACACAAGTGACACACACACACAGAACCTACACAAGTGACACACACAGAACGTACACAAGTGACACACACATAACCTACACAAGTGACACACACACAGAACGTATACAAGTGACACACACACAGAACCTACACAAGTGACACACACACACACAGAACCTACACAAGTGACACACACAGACACACACAGAACCTACACAAGTGACAGACACACACACAGAACCTACACAAGTGACACACACAGAACCTACACAAGTGACACACACAGACACACACAGAACCTACACAAGTGACACACACAGAACGTACACAAGTGACACACACACACACAGAACCTACACAAGTGACACACACACACAGAACCTACACAAGTGACACACACACAGAACCTACACAAGTGACACACACACACAGAACCTACACAAGTGACACACACACACAGAACCTACACACACACACTACACGTGCGTCCTCCCCGACACCACCCCCCACCCCGAGAGCTGTCGCCGCTCCCCGCTGGTGCCCTCTCACCTGGGGCAGGCCGCTGAGCAGCGCGGCGCGGCTGGGCGAGCAGCTGCTCACGCTGGTGAACGCGTGGCGGAAGCGCAGGCTAACGGACGCCAGCGCGTCAAGGTGCGGGGTGGCGATGGCCGTGTTGTTGTAGGCGCCCAGCTCGAAGCCGCCATCGTCGGCTGCGCCGCGAGAGGAGGAAGCGGAGCAAGAATCAGAAGAGGAAGAAGAAGACGAAGCGTCAAGTGGGGGAATGTCAAGGCGACGTTACACGGCGCGCGCCCAGTGCCCCGGCCCCCCGCTGGTACCGAGGATGAGCAGCGCGTTCCTCCTCCTCCTCCCCACGACTCCGCACGGCGCCAGCAGCAGCAGCGGCGGCAGCAGCAACGCCAGCAGCAGCATGGCGACACGTCACGGGGTCGGGGCGGGGTCACGGGAGGTGCGGGGAGGAGGTGGGAGAGGGAGGGGGTGGGGAAGAGGGGGAGAGAGGGGGTAAGAGGTGGGAGGGGAAAGGGGGGTAGTGGGGGGAGGAGGTGGAGGGTGGGGGGAGAGGAGGTAGGGGGGGAGGGTGATGGGAGGGGGAGAGACGGGGGTAGTGGGGGTAGGGGGGGGAGGAGGTGGGAGGGTGGTGGGAGGTGGAGAGGGCCCCGGTCACGTGACATCTGGATCCACGTTGAAGGCTACGGCGACCAAATTGAGCATCCGCAACACAACCACAGTACATAATCACAGTACACAATCACAGTACACAACTCCAGTACACAACTCCAGAGCAACACAACAGTACATAATCACAGTACATAATCACAGTACATAATCACAGTACACAACAACTCCAGAGCAACAACCACAGCAACACAACTGCAGTACACAACAACCACAGAGCGACACAACCACAGTACACAACAACTACAGTACACAATTACAGTTCACACACCTACACAACTACAGTACGCAACAACTCTACACAACACTCCTACAAAACACAACTACACAACTGCAGTCCACACAACTACAGTACACACAACAACACAGCTACAGTACACAACTACACAACAAACGACGTCATACACACAGCTACAGTACACAACTACAGAACAAACGACGTCATACACACAGCTACACACAACTGCACAGCTACACGCAACGACCTCAGAGGGACACAAATCGCGCACAGCAACACAATGACACACATCAGCACAAACTCACACTTGCTTCAATCACATACACACTATTAACACAATCACTCACACTGCTAACACACTACCAACACATCACTCACACATGTTTATTCACAATCACTCACACCACTAACACTACCAACACCACTAACACGTTTATTCACAATCACTCACACCACTAACACACGTTTATTCACAATCACACACTGCTAACACTACCAATACACTATCAATACAATCACTCACACTGCTAACACACTACCAACACACCACTAACACACTTTTATTCACAATCACTCACACTGCTAACACACTACCAACACACCACTAACACACGTTTATTCACAAACACTCACACTGCTAACCCACTACCAAGACACTAACAACACACCACTAACAGACGTTTATTCACAATCACTCACACTGCTAACACACTACCAACACACCACTAGCACACTTTTATTCACAATCACTCACACTGCTAACACTACCAACACACCACTAACACACGTTTATTCACAGTCACTCACACTGCTAACACTACCAACACACCACTAACACACTTTTATTCACAATCACTCACACTGCTAACACACTACCAACACACCACTAACACACTTTTATTCACAATCACTCACACTGCTAACACTACCAACACACCACTAACACACTTTTAGTCACAATCACTCACACTGCTAACACACTACCAACACACCACTAACACACGTTTATTCACAATCACTCACACTGCTAACACACTACCAACACACAATACAATCACTCACACTGCTAACCCACTAACCACGCGACTGACACGGTCACATCCCATGACCACTGCCGCACCCAGGGGACGCTGATCCCTCCCAACCCACACTCGGAGCGAGACGCAGGGGAGGTGAGTGACATGTGTGTGTGTGTGTAAGGTGAGTGACATTGTGTGTGTGTGAGTGTGTAAGGTGAGTGACATTGTGTGAGTGTGTAAGGTGAGTGACATTGTGTGTGTGTATAAGGTAAGTGAGATGAGTGACATTGTGTGTGTGAGTGCGTAAGGTGAGTGACATTGTGTGTGTGTGAGTGTGTAAGGTGAGTAAGATGAGAGTGACATTGTGTGTGTGTGAGTGTGTAAGGTGAGTGAGATGAGTGACATTGTGTGTGTGAGTGTGTAAGGTGAGTGAGATGAGTGACATTGTGTGTGTGTGTGAGTGTGTAAGGTGAGTGAGATGAGAGTGACATTGTGTGTGTGTGTGTGTAAGGTGAGTGAGATGAGAGTGACATTGTGTGAGTGTGTAAGGTGAGTAAGATGAGTGACATTGTGTGTGTGAGTGTGTAAGGTGAGTGAGATGAGAGTGACATTGTGTGAGTGTGTAAGGTGAGTGAGATGAGTGACATTGTGTGTGTGTGTAAGGTGATTGAGATGAGAGTGACATTGTGTGAGTGTGTAAGGTGAGTGAGATGAGAGTGACATTGTGTGTGAGTGTGTAGGGTGAGTGAGGTGAGTGACATTGTGTGTGTGCGAGTTGTAAGGTGAGTGAGATGAGAGTGACATTGTGTGTGTGTGAGTGTGTAAGGTGAGTGACATTGTGTGTGTGAATGCATAAGGTGAGTGACATTGTGTGTGTGTGAGTGCATAAGTGACATTGTGTGTGTGTGAGTGCGTAAGGTGAGTGACATTGTGTGTGTGTATAAGGTAAGTGAGATGAGTGACATTGTGTGTGAGTGCGTAAGGTGAGTGACATTGTGTGTGTGTGTAAGGTGAGTGACATTGTGTGTGTGTGTGTAAGGTGAGTGATATTGTGTGTGTGTGAGTGTGTAAGGTGAGTGAGATGAGATTGACATTGTGTGTGTGAGTGTGTAAGGTGAGTGAGATGAGATTGACATTGTGTGTGTGAGTGTGTAAGGTGAGTGAGATGAGATTGACATTGTGAGTGTGAGATGAGTGACGTGTGTGTGTGAGTGCGTAAGGTGAGTGAGATGAGAGTGACATTGTGTGTGTGTGAGTGTGTAAGGTGAGTGAGGTGAGTGACATTGTGTGTGAGTGTGTAAGGTGAGTGAGGTGAGTGACATTGTGTGTGTGCGAGTTGTAAGGTGAGTGAGATGAGAGTGACTGTGTGTGTGTGAGTGTGTAAGGTGAGTGACATTGTGTGTGTGTGAGTGTGTAAGGTGAGTGACATTGTGTGTGTGAGTGCGTAAGGTGAGTGACATTGTGTGTGTGTATAAGGTAAGTGAGATGAGTGACATTGTGTGTGTGAGTGTGTAAGGTGAGTGACATTGTGTGTGTGTGAGTGTGTAAGGTGAGTGACATTGTGTGTGTGTATAAGGTAAGTGAGATGAGTGACATTGTGTGTGTGAGTGCGTAAGGTGAGTGACATTGTGTGTGTGTAAGGTGAGTGACACTGTGTGTGTGTGAGTGCTTAAGGTGAGTGAGATGAGTGATGTGTGTGAGTGAGTGATGTTATTGACAGGAGGTTGAGTGAATTAGTTGTGTGAGTGAGGTGAGTGATCTTATTGACACGAGGTTGAGTGGATTAGTTGTGTGAGTGAGGTGAGTGATGTTATTGACACGAGGTTGATTGAATTAGTTGCGTGAGTGAGTGATGTTATTGACACGAGGTTGAGTGAATTAGTTGTGTGATGAGGTGAGTGAGTGATGTTATTGACACGAGGTTGAGTGAATTAATGAGCGATAGTGTAGCGGTTAGCGTGCTGCTCTAAGAACCCGGCGACCCGGGTTCGATTCCCGCTCACGGCCAGCACCCAGTGACGATTATCTGAACCGGTCCTCGGCCTCCCCTAGGTCGACTCAGCCTCAAATGAGTACCTGGTGCGGTGCGTAAACATCGCCACTGGGGAGACAAAGGCGGTCGGGCGTGGTGCTGGCCAACCCACCCCCTCGTGTACCGTTGCGGCCTTCATAGGTGCTCGCTAGCAGCACTTGCCCCAAACAGTCTGTTAAAGGCTACATGGGAGATCTTTGTCTTTGCTGTGTGATTGAGGTGAGTGAGTGATGTTATTGACAGAGGTTGAGCGAATGAGTTGTGTTGAGTGAGGTGAGTGAGTGATGTTCTTGACAGAGGTTGAGCGAATGAGTTGTGTTGAGTGAGGTGAGTGAGTGATGTTATTGACAGAGGTTGAGCGAATGAGTTGTGTTGAGTGAGGTGAGTGAGTGATGTTATTGACAGAGGTTGAGCGAATGAGTTGTGTTGAGTGAGGTGAGTTGTCAGACGTCTCTGACAATTCGCTGGGAGGTGTCCGTGCGATGTTGCTTGTGCTTTGTTTGACGTTGCACAATAACTAGTCCGTAGGCGCCGTTGTTTGTATTTATTACGCTTTAAGTGGACGAAGCACACTTGCAAAAAAATTAGTGTAAAAAATGTCAAATGTTCTCCAAGTTTAGACTAACTCAGCAGGTTTTTTTTTTAAACAGGCAAAATCTGCACCGGTTTCAACCTTCTCGGTCTCATCAGCAGACTGACAAAAAAGATCACCACATTCGTTAATAGCACTGGCCTAAAACGGAAATACGTGTAACAGGACACTACTAAACGTTGCACGATGGAGCCTGATGATAGATGATGAACAGAGTGAGATACTATAATAATAGGGTTTTTCCCCTTTTTTCTGGCAACAAAACTGAAACCTTTTTACAAGGATTCATGTTACTGCATTAACCACAATATCTGCAGTCAAAATGCAAACAAAAAACATACTATGATAATATATGCATTGTCCTTGAAACTGATTGGTCCACACCAAGGGACGGCTTTCTTTTGAGCCTCGACCCAAATTGGTGCTCGACCAGATGACGCAAAAAGGTTTTAGTTTTGTTGCCAGAAAAAAGGGGAAAAACCCTATTATTACATTTTGGTACTGGCAAAGGAGGTCTAATGATGAAAGAGTGAGATACTGTATGTTAAACACATGCTGGTGGATTACATCATAATGGCAGCACGAACTAAATTTGGCAAAGACAGTGGAAGGAAAACAGCACTTTTGAATAGGTTCATAGTCCGCGTGAAGTCCATTGTGATTGAGGAATATGCTCAGTGCATTTCACGTGGTTGGATGAATTGTTAAATATTATCCATGCTCGTTGAAATTGATGTGAGTTTCTGTACCGTGTGACTTTGCTGCCTCTGGAAGGACCTGGCAGCATATTTTAAATTTGCCACGTGTTTAAGAATTATCATGCACGTACAGCATAGAAGGACATAATTTGTATTTTTATGGGAAGTAAATTGGTAAACGCGGAAAGACAAAACGTGGCGGGTCGCGCCGAATAGAGTTTGGGAAAACTTGACATAATGGCCTACTTTTCTTCATCAACTGTGAGCACAGCAGATGGCATGTATTTTACTGTTAACACACCCGCAGTATTAACCAGGGCCGCCTGCCGGTTGCGAACTTCGAACCTCTGCAGAAAGCCGCAAACGACACTTCCGCCGTGGGCTGTCACCGCCCCGACGCTGACAGCAGACCGCGGTGGGTGAACACGAGTGGTGGCGTTTCCTTCTCCGTGCGCGCGAGATGGCGGAGCGGTGCCACGCTGGTCTCGCCCGCGCTCTCGGGCTCGCCGGGACCGGCCTCGCGTCCGTGGCGCGGTGCTGTTGCCCACCTGGCCGTGTGCGTGGGCTGCTGCCCCCGCTCACGTGGCTCCCAGGCTACACGCTGGGCTCCTTGCGCATGGACCTGGTGGCGGGGCTCACCGTGGGCCTCACCGTGGTGCCTCAGTCCCTCGCCTACGCGCAGGTGGCCGGCTTACCCGCGCAGGTATGGCTGCGGTCGCCCTCCCCCCGTCCCCCCCCGCTCCCCCTCCAGGATCGCATTTCGGTGGCACATCCAGAGAGGTCGACCTGGCATTTTGTTTCGATGAGGCCTGATGGACCAGAGCACCGTGGGCACGCTGAATGGGAGGCGTTCGAGACGTGTCCGCGAAACGCATTGCGTGCAATGTCAAGGCAAATCCTGGCCTGTGAACCCAGCGCAAGATGTATTTTTCTGTAAGGTGCATGGCTTATGCTGCTTTATGCTGGTTGTGCTGCCGCTGAGAGGTTGCGTGTAATGTTCTGCTTCATGCATATGTTGGTGTTCTCTTGTGAGAAGCTTTCAGCTGCAAAGAGTTTACGTTTTTTAAAATAAATTAGACCAACATATGTGTTAATGACAGTTTTATTATCTCGAAATTATCTTATTTCAGGACACTGGGGTAAGGACATGAATACTTATGCCCTTACCCCAGGAATTCGTATTGACACATTGCAAAACAAATATAAGGAGAATCACGACATGGTGCCATTTCTAATTGCTGAAAATCCCTTGTTTTGTTGAAGCAGTGCTAGGAGTCTAACTCGGACCGTGTGAAGGTGAAAGGTGGCACAGTGGGTTCGTGAGCGAGGCTGTGCATTTCCCCTGCTGCAGTACGGCCTCTACTCGGCCTTCATGGGCTGCTTCGTGTACTGCCTGCTCGGGACGTCGAAGGACGTGACGCTGGGCCCCACGGCCATCATGTCACTCGTTGTGTCGGTGTACGTGCGCCGCGACCCCGTGTACGCCGTGCTGCTCACCTTCCTGTCTGGCGCCATCCAGCTACTCATGGGGATCCTCCGTTTGGGTAGGGACCGTTACTGTGGCCTGAGATCTTGTAATATGCGTGTGGAGACGCGCAGTGGCGGAGCCAGGATTTTCAAGTAGGGGGGGAGGGGGGGCAAACCCTCCAGCAATGAAAAACGATAGGAGTTGTTAGTAAGTAAGGACTTGTCCCTTGCTTTTTATTTGACGCGTGTGCGGCGATGGCGCAGCCATCGATCGAGGGTTGAATTCGAACCGTGAGTGATTGGCATCGCGCTCGCTGAAGGTGTTTGCCTTCAGGGAAGTCGTGTACTGTATATGCAACTGCGCACAATTCTGTGAGTCACTTATAACTGCTTTGCCATTACTTATTGCCAATTATGGACTCAGACTATTGTCCTATCATCTCATAGAGTCCCTGACACGTAATAATATGCTACACTGGCAGTGAGGGTCGCAAAAATGCCGATTTATTACTAATAAACCCCAATGATCGATTGGATCATTGGGGGGGCACGTGCCACCCCCCCCCCCAACTGGCTCTGCCAGTGGAGACGCGGCTGTTGTTGTACACGTGAACATTTCTACCTTTACAATGCAATTCCACAGTGTGAATATTATGCCGCTGCCAATGTTCTCAAGGGAATTGTTTCTCTGAAATAATGTGGTCTTCTTTTGTTTAGGTTTTTTGGTCGAATTCATCTCCCTCCCTGTCTTGAAAGGATTCACTTGCGCTGCTGCAATAACGATTGGATTCAGCCAAATTAAGGTAACTGCTCAGTTATGGTAACTGCTTCACTGAAACTTGTCCTGAATGTGCATTTGTGTGTCTGTAACAAAAAAGTCCAGCGCCGCAATCAATAAGTCTTGAGTCCTAAAGGGACAGAGGGCCGACTTGTGTTATTCTCGACGTATGAATGGTGCAGGGGTCGGAAATCAAAATATTTCAAGAGCCGCAATGCACGTGAATACGAGACGGTCCTTAAAAAATAATGTCGCGAAACAGTCCTTAATGATTCGCATGCGGCTCCGGAGCCACGAGTTCCCGACTCCGGCCCATGAGGTGTACTTCCATGGTGAACTTTACTTCCATGGTGAATTGTACTTCCATGGTGAACTGTACTTCCACGGTGAACTGTACTTCCATGGTCAGGGGTCGGCAACCAAAATAACAAGAGCCATTTTTTAAAAAAGAATTTCAAGAGTTGCACTGCAGTCCTTAAAGAGCCGCAGGTTGCCGACCCCTGAACTAGTGTAACGACCCAAACCACTAGGGGCGCAGAACGCCCCTAGTGGGGACAGTACGGAGGGTGCAGAGTCAGATGAACCTCATGGCGGAACCCCCGGGGTCCCATAAGCCCCCGGCTCTCGCATAAACTGCGTTGCGATGTCATTTTATGTCTGTTGAAGGCAAACGATACGGCGATCTATTCTTCTCGAAGAGCTCTACACGATGTGCTAATCAAAGTTTTGTTTCTTCTATGTATTCATCCTTGCTGCGCTTGGACGACACAACAACAGATGGTTTGCGGCGTTCATGTGCGCGGTGGGACGGAGTCACCAAAAACAATAATTAATTACGATTTTGACTTCCGTTTATTCGGGACCCCGGGATCCCGCCGTAAGGTTCAGATGGGGACAACCCAAAAGCAGCCAAGGCACTTGAGGGCAAAGGGCCTGGAGCTCGCCCTGGACAGTAAGGGTAGTTTACAGCAGGTGAGGGACAAGGGCTCTCCTTGGATATGAATTGTGGAGACAGAGTAGGGGACTAGAGGTTAACTGGCAGTAGATATAATGGCAACGAGCCCTGATGGACAGGGGATGCAGTGGGAAGCCCAGGAGGGGCGTATTGCCTGAGGCGCCAATGAGGATGAAGGTACGGGCGGATAACGGGTGATATTATGGGGGTGGGGCTCGGGTAAGAGTATAAAAGAAGAAGGGACGGATGGGGAAGGGGGGCTCGGGGGTGAAGTGTGAAGGATCCTGAAGCTGTAGAAAGAACACGACAAAGTGCGGGAGATTCTGGTGGATATGAAGAGGATCAGCGGCGGAAGTATTCAAAGGGCCTAGAGACTGGTGGACATTGGATGGTGTTTGGGTGTGGACAAGGATTTATATGTTGTTTCACACCACTGTGACAGCCGTGGTGTGTTTTATTCCTTATGAGGTTCTAATAGACCTGTCCCACTTCGAAAGAGAAGACTGTTAGTCGTCCACTAGTCACGGTGGTTGTTACACTTGCTAGGAAGGATCTCGAAACACTTGAGATCAGGACATTATTAATTGCAAGCATTCAGAGATGTGTTTGGTTGTTTGTTTTACAGCAGTTATATTGATGCAGTGCATCTTGAGCACATTGTGTATTTTTATACTAACTTTTGTCTGTTGTGCGTTGTGCACCTGGTTAGACACTCCTAGGACTTAAAGACATCCCTCAGCAGTTCTTTCAGGAGGTGTATTACACGTTTTCCCGAATCGCAGAGACCAGGTGAGCATCATATTCCTCCCTAAGCCAGCAAGCACATCCTGAAAAGAAATTTTTGTAAAAAAAATCTCCTTTTTACACACTTTATTTTAACTCACTCTGTTGTTGTATCTTGTAACTCAATTTTTTAACACACTTCCCAATGTGGTATCGACTGCAAACTTGGTATACTTATGTCATACTGATGACAATACTATATTCTATCATAAAAAATAAAAACATATTTTTAAACATTATTTTTTCTATGTTATGTTTCGGCTTGGTTCTAATTGTCCACGCTGAACTGACGTTGGCTGTAATTGGCCACGGTCCCTTACATTATGGCAAGCTTCGGGGCCACTTCCTGGAGTCGTGGAGTTCTGCCATTACTTGTACATTTAATAAAAGCGTGTTTTAAAAAAAAATTACTTATTCAGTTCAGTACATGGCTGTCAGCCACGTGGGTTATTTAACTACACGTTACCAAACTTTTCAGTGTTGTAAACGTGAGCTACGTGCCCGTGTGTGTGTGCATGCCGATGTATTTGTGCACATGGGAGTGAATGCGTCCATGTGCATTGTCCGTATAGCCAATGGGTAGCTGGTGCACAGCGGTTAGCGCACTGCGCTAAGAATCCGGCAACCAGAGTAAGATTCTCGCTCACGGGCAACATCAGTGACGATTGCCTGAACCAGTCCTGTACCTGCTGTAGGTTGACTCAGCCTCAAATAAGTGCCTGCTGCGGTGCGTAAACCTCACCGCTGGGGGAGACAAAGGCGGCAGGGCGTGGTGCTGGCCACCCACCCACTCGTGTGCCGTGTTGGCCTTCACAGGTGCTCGCTAACAGCACTTGCCCCAACAGTCTGTTAAGGCTACACCGGGGATCTTCGTCTTGGTCACCGCCAACATGAGTGGCAATGAGTGCAGAACTCGTTCCGGGCCTCTCCTAGCACGGCTCGAACAAAAACGCGCATCTGATGCGGTGTGTAAATGTCAGCAGGGAACCTTCGTCATACATTCTTTATGGCTATGCAGGCATTGCTTTACCCGTGCGATGTGCCCTCTCAGACTGGCGGATGCCTTGCTGGGCGGGAGCTCCCTCCTGCTGCTCATCCTCCTCCGCGTCATTGCCGCACGGTCCCCCATCCCACCGCCCATTCCTGTCTCCGTTCGTATCAGCAATAGCATCACCTCTATTTTTGGGACAGGTTTGTGTTCTTATTATCCAGATCAATTGATGTTATCGGAGGACTGTTTTTGTGAATACGGTAATTCCCCGATTTACGTCCTCCCGCTTTGCGTACTTTCACCCAAACATACTAAGCTTATTGATACCCAATCCCATTTTGAGATTTAGTAACGTAACCATTAAGCCCCAATTTGTTTCCTTTCTACGGCGAAATTTAGGTGCCAGATACCGCCGAATCATTCGCGTCTCTGATTGGCTATAATCTCTTTCATGTGTACTCTATAAATATTTCCCCCCCCACATACTGTATTTATGGCGATTATCTCTTATACAAGTGTAAACTATTTTTTATATAATAAACAACTAATAATACATATAGTATACTAAACAATATATCTATAAAATAGACTTACTTTTCACACCGATGGTTTTACAGTATAGATGCGCAATGGGTTACCGAGCATCCTTTCTCTTTGTCATGTAGGTAAAAAATAAAATGGCAAAAATCACGACGTTTCGGCCACAACACAAGTGGCCTTCATCAGGTGAAGGGACCGTGCTGTCATGAGGACAGCACGGTCGTGATTTTTGTTATTTTATTTTTCACCTACGTGACTTTACCGAATAGAACCAAAGAGTATGGATCCTTGCATTCACGAAAGCTTCAAATCTAGAATCGAGCATCCTTTGTTTGGGTACTGTACCACATTACGAACCGCCATCCCATCTCTTTGCTTCGATTTAAGTTCCTTCGATTTACGTTCTGGTTTTAGGAACGCATCCTGGGCATAAATCGGGGTGTGCCTATTTCAACTTAAAATGCATTACATGGTATTAGAACATAGCAGATTGGTAAATGTGGGAAGGTGGGTTTGCGTGGACTGGCGTGTCCGTGACAACGGCTGTGCTTGACGCATAAGCGCTGGCTGCGTGTGTTTCAGTGCGCAATGCGGTGGTCGTCCTGGCTGCCGCCCTTGTGGCGTTTGCCTGCGAGAGCCAGAGGCTGCACCCCTTCACCCTCACGGGGCACATTGCCCAGGGCCTACCCCCGTTCCACCCTCCTGCCTTCTCAGAAACCAAGGAAGGCACATTCATCCCTTTTTTGCAGATCGTCAGGGTAGGTCATCGCGCCGGAGAGTGGCTGTTGTTCCAGCTCCATCGCACGATGTCCGAGCCAGTTGCGGTGCTCGCCATCCCATAGTTTCATCCAATTTGATGTCTTCGGTATTTTATACATCTTGCTTTACGTGCTGAAACATGCAAGTATTACACGTGGCATGTAACCTGCTGTTGCAGGATCTGGGGTTGGCGCTGTTGGTCATTCCGCTGCTGGGTTTCCTGGAGAGCATTGCGATCGCTAAAGCGTTCGGTACTCTTGAAGCATACGAGCAAATCGCACTCGCACAGCAGTGCCACTCCACCACACACACAACAGTACCCTCAACCAACACACACACGCAACAGTACCCTCAACCAATACGAACCAACACAACTTTAAATGTCATACAGAACAAGGATATTTTTTGTCCGTTTTGCTAATTGCATTCTTTTAACGTTCAAGTTTGAGTTGGTGTTGTCGCGTGACGTTCACCTCGTTGTGAAAGTGCGGAAGACGTGCCCGCTGTGTTGTTGCACTCTTTACAGCAACCAAGAACATGTACAGGATCGATCCCAGCCAGGAACTGATAGCAATAGGTAAGCAGAGGTTTGGGTACACTGACACTGACTGTAGCACCACTACTCGCAACAACATGGCCTCACAAGCACACATGTTTTGTGTCACAAGCATTGCAGATTTGAAGTTTTCGTGACTGCAAGGATCCCTATTCTTTGTTTCTATTTCTTGCTGTGGTTGTCACACCTGATGATGATTGCTTGTGTTGCAATCGAAACGTCGCGATTTAATTTTTTTTTAAATGTTTTAATTTTATTGTTTCACCTACGTGACTTTACCGAAAGAACCAAAGAATACACAAGCATTCGCCTTTTATGAGAGCTGTTGGCTTGTTATGCGGGCCCTGGCCACGATGGTCAGCGGTGTTGCTTTTGTGCCTTGTTAAGTTGGTCACGTGTGCTTCCCTTCAGGCCTCACCAATGTTCTGGGTTCCTTCACCTCCTCCTACCCCGTCACAGGCAGCTTTGGCAGGTGACCTACACGAACCAGCACTGCTTCGTAGCATCAAAACTTCCGGGGGGGGAAAAAAAAAAAACCCAAACAAAGATCTGTGTACCATATGATAACAAAGGCACTACCATGACATAAACTACTTTATTACTGTATTGTAGTATAACACTAATGCGATTTTAACACATAACAGGGCGTGTGTTCATCTCGTACACTTATACTTGGGGAAATTTTCATCCTCCAGCGATGTCGATACGAGTCCACAGACACTTGTGGCGCCTATTACATCGCCTGCTTGTGGACTATGAAAGCAGCACCAATTCGCGTCCACACTGGGAGGCCGGACACCGTGACACTCGGGCCTTGTGCGCGTGGGCTCGGCCGCTCTTACACAAGCGGAACTCTTGTGTTGCAGAACCGCGGTGAATTCCGAGACGGGTGTGGCGACACCCGCAGGCGGCCTTGTTACAGGTATGCACAGGGGGGCAGAGTACTCGCCCTCTTCGTAATGGAGTCATAATTGATTTTTATGCATGTGTCTGGAGCAGTGGTACGAGATTTAAATTCCGCAGAGTTGAGCAGAGTTGATCCCGGGTTCGTACTTTGATGGGTTACTAGCAGTGGCTTGTCAGGTGATGTAGGCACTTGGCAGGGAGGTGGCCAGGAAATTGCAATAGTGTTGAACGTCACCCCCTCATAGATGAGGTTTTTTTTTCTCCGAGTATTCCATTTATCGCCCACGATGCCACTCAGGTTACCATTCCGCTTGCCGTTGGAAGATGGTTTTGGTTTTGCACCTGTGTGAAGCGGTGACACTGAGCTCTTCCCCAGTTTGCACCTCTGTGGGCCTTGCTCACCCCCAGCTATGGCTGCAAAGTTTGGTCGTACATGTAATGTAGATCGTTTATTGTTAAATTTGAATCACAGTTCCTATGATCACTGTTACATTGTTTTTATAGCTTTATTTTGGTTGATTTCAAAAACGTTTTGGTTTAGCCATATTTGTTTGTTATAGTACAGAGTTAAACTGATAACTTTAGTCTAAATTGTCTTATGGTTGTTATTGTTTTGCACGCAGATTTGATACACGGTGCTTTATCTGGAAGAGTTTGCCGTTTTTTCCTGGAGTTTTCTGTTACGCGCAGTCACTTTAAGATGTTTTTCTGGTTCATGTTTTTCGTTTGTCGCGGTTGCACCCGAGTCGAGAGCCGAATGGTTTCACAGGGCTACACCAAATAAACGAAAACTGAAAATGAAAAACTGAAAATGGAAAAACTGACCTGCCATGATGGCGCTGGTGACCGCGTGCAGGCGCTGTGGTGCTGCTGTCGCTCGCCTTCCTCACGCCGTGGTTCTACTTCATCCCCCAGGCCGCCCTCTCCGCCATCATCATTTGCGCCGTGGCGCCGCTGTTTGACTGCCGCATTCTGTGGAGGCTTTGGAAGATAAAAAGTAAAGCAATGTTTGTGTTGCCCGCATCCCGGTTTGAACTAGCGGTGTTTAAATCTCGGGGGCTCATCTTCTTTGGTTCTTTCGGTAAAGTCACCACGCAGAATGAGAATAAAATAATAAATTAATAAAATAAAATAACGCAATGAAATTCTCACGACGTTTCTGCCACAACACAAGTGGCCTTCTTCAGGTGAAATGAACAGACCTGTCGGGACGACAGAGCTTCGATGAACGTTGTCAAGATCCGTAGCGTCTTTTAAGCTGGTTTAGAGAAGTGAGGCACCTTGACAAAGGGGTTTACATATAAAAACAGGAGAATTTAGCATTGAAATAGCTGAGTGATTAGCTTGTGACTGGTCATAGAAATGGCTATGTTAAAGTCAAAGCTTACACATCCACAGAGGCACCTAGTACAAATCAAACAGGATAATTTAGCATTGAAATAGCTGAGTGATTAGCTTGTGACTGGTCGTAGAAATAGCTATGTTAAAGTCAAAGCTTACACATCCACAGAGGCACCTAGTACAAATCAAACAGGATAATTTAGAATTGAAGATGAATCCTTGCAGTCACGAAAGCTTTAAATCGAAATCTCGGGGCTCGTCTCTCTTATTTTTACAGCCCTGAGCTAGTGGGGAAATTCTGCATTTATATGGGAGGGGCGAATCTATTCACAGAACAACAAAGCTTACAATAACACGCATCGAATCGTCCATGTGAGAATCGATTGTTTTGGACATCTACGGATTGCAATTGGTGCACGTGTATCCTACATTGACTGGAGCGGCTACGTTCACCTCAGTAACAAAAAGGAATGAATTCTTAAATTACGATGCCAAATTGTGATAATTGAACTGCATGGGGGCATCCTTACAGGCCAAGTTCATAGAGTTACTTGTGGACCATCACATTCACCTCCTTCACAGCGGATGTTTATGGTTCCATGATGTTATTTGAAACACGATGAAGCGTCATGATACAAATGAAAAAAAATCCCCTGCAAGGTACTTAATTGGCAAACACATATAGTGTTCATGGTACGCTACTGGGAATATTACCAGATCCCTCCTGAGAAAGCACGGTTGGCTATGTATGGTGCGAATGAAGTTCACTATACATACATAAGTATATGTTGAGACTCGGCTCTCCTAAGTAAATAAGTAACGTACGTACAGCTGCACCTTGTGGCTTTCTGCTGTGTGGCAATGACCCCGAGTGCTCTGTTTCCCGCTCCTGCAGAGTCGGATGCATTGGTGTTTGTGCTGACATTTGCGCTGTGCCTGTGGGAGATCCCGTATGGGCTGCTGGGAGGGGTGGTCGCATCTCTTCTGCCCCTCCTGTACCCACTTCTACGGCCACATCTCGACGTGAGGGAGCTACGCTCGCACACCGCTCGCACACGGGCACATGCACGGCGCACGCACGCACACAGCGCGCAGGGCACGCACAGCACGTACGCGCGCGCGGGCACAGCTTCTGATGCCGCCCCCGAATATAGGCGACGCGTGCGGAGGCAGCTGTGCCGGCCTCGGGGGCCCTGGTGGTGAAGCTGCAGTGCGGCCTGTGCTTCCTGGCCGTGGAGCACCTGCGCGATGAGCTGCTCGCCCTGCAGGGTACGCGTCGCGCGCCGCCTTCGTTTCAGCTCATAGGGCACCGGCGGTGCCGTAAGCGGGCATTGAACGTTATCGCAACTCGTGACATTCTTTGCAGTGGGCTATGGAGGTTCGAGAAGCAAGTGCTGAAATTGAATCTTGAGTGAACTGTTCACCATCGTTTAGAGAAGTGAGCCCACTGAGATGCTGGTATTTGAAACAATTAAAAAGTTAAATTTTGATTTAAAGCTTTCGTGACTGCAGTAATTCATATTCTTAGTTTTTTCGGTAAAGTCACGTTGAAGAGAAACAACAAAATAACAAAATATATATAAAACAATAAAAAATTATCACGACGTTTCGACCATAACTCAAACGGTCATCATCAGGTGTGTCAACGTGACTTTACCGAAAAAACTAAGAATATGAATTAAAAAGTTATTTGTTGATGGCTAAACTAAACTTTTATTTACCAGGTTAAGCCCACTGAGAAATTGGCCTTTTTCAGAGGCTATCTGGCTACATGTGAAAGCTCATCAAAAGTGGCTTATCATATGTGGGAATTTATAGTGGTAGTCAAATATTCTAAACATATATTTCTAAATGTGGAGGGCAAAACTGGAGGACCTGGAGAAAAGCCCACACGACCGAGGGGAGAGAACGTGTGAACTCCAAATATATCATCAGGGTCGGGATGGAACCCACGACCTCCTGCATACCAGGCGAGGAAGATAACATCTCTCTAGCATGTGCCTTGTGAGTAACCCCTTACCCTAGCTTCATGTGTGTGTGCGCAGCGTCTTGCTCTGTCATCCCCGGGCCCTGCTCGGCCCCACGGCCGGTAGTGCTGGACTGCAGGGCCGTGTACATGCTCGACTACTCGTCCGTGTGCGTCCTGCGGGATCTGCTGCTCAACTTTCACAGCAGAGGCTCCCATTTGCTGCTTGCCTGTCTGCAGGTAGTGGGGTCCTTACTCTCACATTCTACTTGGGACTACTGTCAATCACACCACCACTGAGTAGATGATCACCGTGCCGGTGCGTGTTTGGAATTTTACCGAGAGACAGTTGCACATGTGGATTACGTAGCGCATGCAGTAAAGTACGTGGGCTTGGGCAGGGCACGTCGCTAGGTGGATGATGGCCGATGATCGAGAATGGTGGTGATGACCAAGAAATGGAATGCATTCGAGGGGATGACCACCAGGGAGATGGAACGTTTAAATTAGCTACTGTGCATGTGCTAGGTGGAATGCACCTCCGACTAGCACGGTTGGCTCCGTACGGTGCGAAAACACATTCTCCTGCGGAGGGAGCTGGTAGGAACGTTGGGTTGCTCGGTCAATGGCCATGGTCAACGGCGGCGTGGTGTATTCCGCAAATATGCCCGATTGTGAGGGCGGGCACAAGCCGGCGTGAGTAGATTAAACGTTGAGTTTTGTAAGGGCACCACGGGGTGACCAGCCCCTCCCCACCCAGCCCCACCCCTCCCAGCCCCCACCCAGCCCCACCCTCCCCACCCAGCCCCTCCCCACCCTCCCCACCCAGCCCCTCCCCACCCTCCCCTCTCCACCCAGCCCCACCCCTCCCATTTTTGGATGCAGGATGGACGGACGGACACAATAATCCCCTGTGGGCTGGTGGTGTAACCAGGAGGTTCCTACACAGTATAAGTTCAGCACACATACATTGTTACATTGCAGAACCATGATAAACAGTGACGCATTGGTTAGGCCTTCATCCAGCAGTGGATTGATCATGGCTAATGATGGTGATGTTTAGCGAGTGCTTTGATTTTAATGTTTCCACATTTCTGTGATGCTCTCTTTCCTTGAGTTTTGCTTTTTTTGCTCCACAGTGTTTGTCCATAAGAGGCGAGTCTCCCTTGACCTTGAGTTTCCATGAGCTCTCACCTGGTCACAAGCGAAGGACTTACGTGGTTTATGTTTGCGGTGGTGTCTTTTGTGTAGCCGCAAGTTCTTGACGTTCTGTGTCGTTCCGAGGTTGACTGCGAGCCATTTGCAAGTGTGGCGATGGCAGAAACGTGGCTGTCAGGTGTGTGTGCATTTTTATTATCCCTCGAGAGCGACAATTTACCTGCCTGTTTACTCGTGCTGCATCGAATCATTAATTAATATCCATTATGCATCACATCATATGGGGACTGAATAGTGTAAGGATAAAATGTAGTGAAAATCCAATAAACTTCTGCAGGGGTGGAAATCACAAAATGTGTGATGTGTAGTGAATATATCGTTAAGTTATCTGAGTCACGTAACTATAACTTATTGAAGTGTGGCGTTCAGCTCATCGCTTTCTGGGTGGCTTGAGGTAGGATAAAAACAAGTGTAAAGGCAACATCGAGGATTGGCTGTTGAAAGATGTGAAGAGACTTTTTGCTATAAAACTGCAGTGACCACATAATTGACATTTACAACATATTAATAATTTTGCTGCAATGCTACTTAAAGGGGCTTTCAGACACAAATCTTCACATTCAATACCCTAGACTGGACCATCTTGTTTAAAATCACTTGCAAGTTACTGTTGTTGGATTCTATACACCGTCAAACGTGTACGTGATTTTGGTGTCTTTTGACGGCTGTCATTTTAAATCTGTCATTTTGCTGCCAGCCCTAACTTGATATAGTGTTTGCAGAGCCGATCTCTGGCTGTGAATGACTCTTGATCTTTCGTTCATGTAAAATAACAGCACTGCCGGTTTTTTTCAGAACAAGAATGCAAAGAAGAGAGAATATTACATTGAGTTCCTGAAGAAATTGTTTAAAATTTTACCCTGGAACACAAAACTTTTATACATGTTTTATTGTGTATATTAGAAGCTAATCTTTTAATGTAATGTATTAACCTGTGAGACTTTGTGATGCTGAAATATTTTTTGCACAGAAATTACACAAAAGCTGCAACAACATTCTTGTCACTGTCGATATTACTTTAAAATAAAGGTAAGCTTATGGCTAAGGCCAATGCACTGTGTTTGTGCACTTTGCCTCCTCGAGACGAAAATTATGGGGCAGTTATGGGGCAGTTGTGGAGAGAGTGGAGTAGTTCCCATAACTGGGCAGTGTGCATATGACCAGCTCTGGTTTGGCAGCAGAGGTGTCACTCCGAATCAGTCAAGCAGCATTATCATTTCATCAGCTCCATAATGCTGTGTGGAAGCTGCCTGGTCTGTCTCTCCATACAAAGCTCTTGGTCTTCTCGGCCACAGTCATTGTGTCCCTTCTGTATGCTTGTGAAATGTGGAGCCCTCTAACGGACTGTCGGCGCTGGTTAGAAACATGCAGGCTGGCCTGTCTACAATTCATCCTGGCTTTATCCAGGCTGGATTGTGTGAGGAGCTAACACATCCTTGAAATATTTGAACGCATTCCCATCAGTGAGCTCCTCCGGTGGTCAAGGCTGTGTTGGCTGGGTCATATAGCCCGCATGCCCATCCACCACATGCCTAAGTAGTTTCTGTTTGTCTTGATAGAGGGGGCTAAATGGGTGCGACACGGACTGGAAAAAGAGATGGACTGATGCGGTTCAGCAGGATGTGGAGCTGAGTGGACTTGCCGAACACTGGTACTAGCGATGTAAAGTTCTGCCTCTATGGAGGAGGCTCATGAAGGACGCTATTAGGCAGTTGGGGGCAGTCGCCCTCCAGCAACAGCGAAGGGCAGACCAGTGACAACGAGTGGAGCACCATGCGGCTAAAATGCAGCAAGTTGGCACAGTAAGGGCCACAGCTGCTGCATCTGCCGGTCATCTCAGTCCACCCATGGCACCTGGGTCTGTCCCATGGCCTGTCACCAAGCCTTTGACACTTCACATGGACCTGGAGTGCACATGGCCTGGCACATGCACCGTGTAGTCGTGACCTCCACTTGGTGGCGAATGGCAGCTGTTGTGAGGCGGTGTGTGGTGAGTTGAGTTTGTGGTGAGGTGGTGAGGAGATTGTGGATGTGTAGACTACTGTAGAGCGTGTATAAGACAGTGGGGATTGGTGGCACAGTGGTTAGCACTACGCTGCATATGATCCTGGCAGAGGCCTAAGTTCGATTTCCTCCCACGACCACCAACACCAGTGACGATTATCTAAACCGGTCCTGGGCCTCCCGTAGGTCGACTCAGCCTTGAACGAGAACCTGGTGCAGTGTGTATAAAGCATCAGGACCGGTGAGTCAAAGGTGGCTAGGCATGCGTGGAGCTGGCAACCCACAATCTCGTGTGCCGTGCCGGGCTTCATAAGTGCTTGCCAACAGCATTTGGCCCAACAGTCTGTAAAGGCCACCAGGGGTAATGACGATGACGATGGTGCGCTGTTGGCAGTGAAATATGGAAGTCTCCAGGCGATAGGTGTGGGACAGGAGCTGTGTGAAAGGGTGCGACTGGCACGGGACGTGAACATTGATCTGCCAAGATTTGTTCCGAGTCTCCCCCGCGCCAGATGATGGTGAGAGAGACGAAACAGGAGTCGGAGGCCACGTCAATTATTTGCCGGTGGTGGTGATGATGATATCGTCTGTTTCAGTTGGGGCTATTGCCATTCCTCGGTGATGGTGGTTATGGCGGTGATGGTAATGAGGATGAAGGGGACGTGAAGGCAAAGTTGGGGTTCAGGGGACGTTTAGTGGGGTCGAGTGGATGCTCGGCGTGACCCACGGGACGTTCGTAAGGGCCCAGGGGTCGTCCGGTTGGGCCCGGGGCAACTTTGGTGGGGTCCGAGGGGAGCCTCTTGGTGCCCAGTGGACGTTCCGTGTGGTTCAGGGAACGTGGGTTTGTATCTGTGAGTATTGCAGTATTTATGTTGTGGGTTTAAAGTTTAGTACAATAATTGTGTTCAAGGTGCAGTACGTTATTAAACAAGACTTCATATTGATTGCATGACCGCAGTGTAAGTTGGCCGGTTAGGTGCTCAGTGATCTTTGCGATGGGAATAGCAGTGTACGCAGCTGAGAATGATTGTATTGGATTGCTGTATGTACCTTTGTGTTTTCAATGAACCTGGATTTGTAAGAGAGTCAAACTCAGTGGGAATTGCCCAATTTTTTAAAAATAACAGTTATGAAAATAGCAGTGGAGAAGTGAACTTAGGGGCCGTCCATAAATGACGTCGCGCACCTGGGGGGGAGGGGAGGTCAAACATTTGTGACGATGTGTGACGAGGGGGGGGGGGGGTGTTGAGAAATGTGACGTCACATCAAAATGCGCAACTTTAAATAAATATAGACAACACGTTCTACTTATCTTCTTTGGTTCTTTCGGTAAAGTCACGTAGAATGAGAATAAAATAATAAATTGATAAAATAAAATAACACAATAATATTCTCACGACGTTTCGGCCACAACACAAGCGGCCTTCATCAGGTGAAGGGACGAGACTGTCTGGTAGGACAGCGCTGGAGTGAAAGAGCCACGTTCAGATCACGGCCTTTAAGCTGTGTGAGAGGAAACAAAGCGCCTTGACAAAGGAATTAGCATATAATTTAGCATTGAAATGGCTGAGTGATTAGCTTGTGACTGGTCAGAGAAATAGCTATGTTAAAACATACACATCCGCAGAGGCACCCCTTGACAAAGGAATTAGCATAGAATTTAGCATTGAAATAGCTAAGTTAAAGCATACACATCCGCAGAGGCACCCCTTGACAAAGGAATTAGCATAGAATTTAGCATTGAAATATCTGAGTGATTAGCTTGTAACTGGTCACAGAAATAGCTACGTTAAAGTCAGAGCATACACATTCACCGAGGCACTTAGTACAAATCAAACAGGAGAATTTAGCATTGAAATAACTAGGCGAATTTAGCATTGAAATAACTGAGTGATTAGCTAGTGACTGGTCACAGAAATGACTATGTTGAAGTCAAGGCCTACACATCTGAGCTATTCACAGTACTATATAGTGAACCAATAAAAAACTAAAATATAAATTACCTTAATGTTTTAAATTTTGATTTAAAGCTTTCGTGACTGCAGTAATTCATATTCTTAGTTTTTTCGGTAAAGTCACGTTGAAGAGAAACAACAACGTGACTTTACCGAAAAAACTAAGAATATACCTTAATGTTATCAATAAACTCTATATTCTCCAATCAGCTAAGCTACCAACAATAAGTCGTTATATATCACAATGCTATATGGCGAAAAAATGGGTGGATTCTTACCCTCAACTTTAGCAACACGGATAGCTACGGGCCCCGTTCAGACGGACGAGTTCATCCATGGTCGGAACAGAGGAGGGGGAGAGAGACAGCTGCGAGGCGCTGTTATACTCCATGTTGTAAACCATACCATTAACCGTGGTGTGAGAGGTATTAAGAGTTAATGCTGGCGAAAGAGCTGCGGTCTGAAGGTCATCGTAAAATACAATTAATTAAGAACAGAAAAGGTTTAAAACATCTTTCCAATGGTTACTAAGCCAGAATCCATCTTCTCGGTTGAAATTGTCTCTGTGCATATGTGAATGGCCTCATGAACGAATCTCTCATGGTAGCCGGTTGGTTTGCAAAGAACCTCCGTCTTGGAGAAGTCAATGTCATGTGAGCCCACGATGTATGAGCGTCTTGATAAGAGATGATTTCTGAGCTGGATGATGATGATGCGAATCTGCATTCAGATAGGTATAAGTGTGCGTTTGCTTTCTGTAAACGCTGTGTTTAAAAAGTCTATTTAACTAAGTAGAACGTTTTGATTTAAAGCTTTCCTGACTGCAGGGATTCATAAAAGTATAATTGTATTATTGTATTGTTTCTATTCGACATGACTCTAAGTGACTTTACCGAAAGAACCAAGAATATAAGTAGAACGTGTTGTCTATATTTATTTAAAGTTGCACATTTTGATGTGACGTCACATTTCTCACCCCCCCCCCCTCGTCACACATCGTCACAAATGTCTGACCCCCCCCCCTTCCCAGGTGCATGACGTCATTTATGGACGGCCCCTAAGGACCGTGAGACCCCCCGCTCCCCCGGGGTTAGTGGCTGTAGCGCCACCGTGTGGCCACTACAAAGTGGTGCCACGCGGTGGCCACACGGTGGCGCTACAGCCACCGTGTGGCCACCACGGTGGCGCTACAGCCACCGTGTGGCCACCACACAGATGGCCGTACGAAAATCGTACGGCCCAAATACATGAAGTCGTGGGACAGATTTTATTTATTTATTTTTACTCTGAAGAGTCGCGCGATCCCGCTAGCAGCCGACAAATTTGATCCGGAATTAAGACGTTCTCGGTACAGATCATGCGCACATGCTACATGTCACTTCCACATCCGATTTTCCAGCACGCAAGCCACGCCATAGCACAGCGACGGTGGGGGGAGGGGTGGGGGGCAGCGCGTTACCCCCTGCGGCGAAGAAGGCGAAAGCAAGCGACGCCGAGAGGCAGCAGACATTTGAAAGAGTGTGGAGAGCCCGACCTGTATGGCTCTAGGGCAGCACGCGGGACGGCTGCGGTCATTTGTCTGTGACTCTACCCTTGTGATGGGACGTTGTAGGATGAACGTTGAGATTTATACGGGGCACGGGGGTGAACCAACGAGGTCTGAATTGGTCTGTAATAAGAGATAGGGGGGGCACTGGTAAGCGGTTGACAGGCGTGTCAAGGCGGCGAGCCGTGCTTCGGGCGAACGGCGACTGGGAATGCACGGGCGATGAGCACCTCCCTGCCAGCGGCAATGTGGTTGACGGCCAACGCTGGGCCTACGCTATAAGTTGGCACCCGTAAAGGGGCGCACAGGTGGTGCATCGGCCGGTCATCTCGGTCAGTCGACTCATGCGGCACCTGTTGTTGGGTCTGCCCCCGTGACCTCTTGTCGGCGGGCCTTTCGACACTTCACGTGGCCTTAACGTGCACATAGCCCGGCACGAGAGCCGTGGTGATATCACCGCCACTTAGTAGCGAGTGGCGATTGTTGTTTTTGTTGGTGGCCTGTAGCTGTGCACGTCTACCAGACGGCAGGCTTAACCACGCGTTG